AATTCTAAATACAGTACATTCGTTAGTGCTTGTATGGTACTTCTTAATTCAATTGCGTTATCCCTGGGATTCTTAGTTCATACTATAATTCAAATACTTCTAATTATCTCACTTTATCACCTAAATAGCACTGACTGAAATCCCTGACAGTCGTTGTAAGATTATTTGTGCAGCGGGCTTTACGCGAAAGCCTACAGTCACAGTGGAGCGTCGGGTTACCTGTTCAGAAAAACAAAGCTTTTCAACAAACAATATAAGATAAAATGAAATGTAATGCCTATGCAAATTAAGCAGGTGGATGAATACTTGGACTCTATTGTGATGACATATACTTTGTTGTTTGAGGTCAACTCTAAACCAATCAAATTAATCTGCTACATTAGCTCCCCTCTAGAATCGACTTCCATAGGAACGTCGGTTTGATTAACCTATTTATCAGAAACACCTATCTTCCGTTTCCACAGCCCAAGGTAGAATTGCCGATTCACTCACTGTTAGACTTCCAATGAATTACGACTAGCTCCGTCAGGAATAGACTATAGTCCATAGACGTTTCTTCATTTACTAGTGCATTATCTTATTTTGTGGCATGTAATTTCTTCCACAACTATCGCTGACGGTTTGATACATGCCCTCTGGATGGTGATCAGAGCTTGCAAGAGAAAAACGGTGAGGAAATGAAACAAAAATATCTGAGGAATTGCAGCAAGCGGGCAACCTAACACCATGTTGATGAGGTACGATTTTTCCATGCTCTGTCTGGCTACTCAACTGCCTCACGAGTTGCCCTCAAATAAAAAAGTATAGAAGAATCTACTTCGAAAGCAATTATGAAAATCAATCAAAACTAAAGAACTGCATCACTGCCTGGGTAAAATAATAAGGTACAAAAAAGCAATGTAATGTCTATACAAAATTAGGACGTGAATGAATACTTGAACTCATTTATTTACATATGCGTAGTTGTTTCACATCAACTTTTAGCCAATCAATTAATTCTGCTACAAGTTTCCTAGCATCTACTCTTTGACAAACCGAGGTTGCGGTCTGCACTTACTTTCGTAGTTATATTTCTGATGGTTCCCGAGGGGTTAAGAAATGATGCAGCTTTAAGTTGTTATATGAATCTAGGCCTTTCTCTATGCGAACGTATCGCAACAGTGAACAATTCACACTGAACTATTATTATTTTGATGCCCTAGGGTCACAGTGACAATTGTGTCGATTTCGTCAGAAGTTGCATCCGACTGTTCAGTCATATGTTCTAACATGTGAAGTGCATTAGAAGCGACCGCAGTTTTTTGTCGTTTTGGCAAAGCTTATGGTGTTTTTAAAGATTTTGGTTGGGGATGTGAATGTTTGATCTTTCGTTTATTTTTAGTAGGACAAAGATTTTTTTAAGCTGTGTGATTGATACTGCGAAACTATGATAATTAGAAGTATTTGAATTATAGTATGAACTAAGAATCCCAGGGATAACGCAATTGAATCAAGAAGTACTACACAAGCACTAACGAATGTACTGTATTTAGAATTCGAAATCAGGCATTCAACAAAAACAAAGCAATCATTAGTTCATTCAAACACCACATCCGCCACAGCTTAAATTAGAGTCCAGGTGTCTGTAGTGAATTGTACGTCTTCTTCTCAAGTTCATACTGTGTCTGTCCGACAATGTATTGGATAAAGACTCTGTATTATCTAGAATGCACTCATTAGTATTAGAATTAACAACTGAAATCGGAACAGATTCACCTGATTTCTGGGATTGTGAACGATCACTATGCCTGTCGAATACTGAAATTACTACCTAGAATATGAACCATAGACTATCCTCCCCCACGAAATAATGTAGGATCTTCATATCCCCAGGTTATGAATAATGTGGCTTTATTTAAAACATCTTTCTCAATATGACTAGAGTAAACGTTGGAAGTGAATTCATGATAAGGACAAACAACAGTTGATATGGAATTATCTGAATTGTAATCAAACTCTAACTCATTTAATACTCGTGCTTCGCATCGAACGAGTTTCTCACAAGAAACAAATGCATCATGAGGACAAATAATATTTGATATGACACTAAGATTTGGTTCTTCTGAAATAGTTTCCTCAAATTTATTAAGAATGTCATTGCAGAGTAAAGGATCGTTAGAAAAATCAGCATCAATCAAAACTACATCAGTTTTTTATCATCATTAGGTTCATTCGAAATATTTTCACCAGATTTGCAAGAAATTTCACCAGAAATATGTGAATCATTAGGAAAAACCATATCTGGTACAATAACATGGGAAATCTGATAGGTTGATTCATTAGAAATTGTTGTCTCGCAAGAATCTTGAGTTTCATTTAACTCTGAACTGCTATATGACTCTAAACTGTCTTTTGAAATCGTCGATAAAGATAAATGATCATTATAAATATTTAAATTAATAGAATCAGAATCACAAGACTTAATATTAGTTGCAGCAAGATGAACAGTAGTATTACAAACTGACTGAATATGTCCGACATCACCACATTTAAAGCACTTACAATTACGAAATTTACATGAATTAAAAGGGTGGAACTTGCCACAAGAAAAACATTGACTAAACTTGTGCCCATCTTCGTGAACTGCACAACCTTGAGTATGCACTGGGATGTGTTGACGTAATATAGTGGAATTTTTTATACCCTCATAAATTATTTTACGAAATCTCCCTTTATCACTTTTGAAATTTGTATACTTTGCATAGTCTAGAAGTAGTTCCTTGAGAGTTGTATAAGGAAGAGGAATGGGCTTTTTCGGTGAAGCCAAAATTTTTAATAAACCATATGCTTCTTTTCCAATGAATGTGAAAAATGTGCCACAATATTAATATCCTCATCATCTTTCTTGGTCATGCTCCAGATTTCAAACCTTTCCAAATAGTCCTCAAAAGCTTCAGAAGTTGAATGAATATCTAACTGTTCCATCGCAGGCTCCATCGCGACGCCAATATGATAATTAGAAGTATTTGAATTATAGTATGAACTAATAATCCCAGGGATAACGCAATTGAATCAAGAAGTACTACACAAGCACTAACGAATGTACTGTATTTAGATTTCGAAATCAGGCATTCAAGAAGTACAAAGCAATCATTAGTTTATTCAAACACCACAGAAACCCAGATATATCCTCCAGATTTGTTCGGGTTGTCAAAGAAACATTTTGACTTAAGATTGAGGTTCTTCAATCATTATTAATTTATATGGTAGCTACTCTGCTGACCTTATTAGGTGTGGTGTAAGAAGTTGTGGTAACAACTATACCATACATCATATTCGAAAATACATTCAGCAAGTATTCAACATTTTCATATCGAACAAAAATCTAAACGACTCCAGAGACGAATACCTTAGGATTGATGCCTTGTTAGTTTATTTCAATGAGTTTTGATTTATGGTGTCAATTCAAAGTAGCGCTTTTTCAAGTTCTGTTTTTGTTTTCGAATATCATTTAACCTGTATATAGTTAGAGAGGCAAACAGAAAGTGTGGTGTTTCTAGACATTAGCAAATGAATTGTTTGTGGAAGAAAAGTATATTAATGTTATTAAACAGCTCCTTATCTGAAGAGTAAACTTTATCTGTATGACCATATATGAAGATGAATGCATTAGTTTAGAGTTGATAAAGATTTTTTAACCGAATAAAAAGTAGTTTTGTATGCATTTTTATCTTGTTTGCGAGCTGTTATCATCATTAGTGCAAAACTGAGTTTCGCAAAACGGCCTATCTAATCTTCCTATTATGGGGATAATTTTGTCCGTTTTGTGTAAATTTGAGGGAAGCCGCAATAGACGACCTCGGGGAAACAGAACAAAAGCTACAAATTTTTTCAGGTTTGTAGAACACACCTTGAGGAAAACTATCAAACTCCCTACAACTTTGGGGAAAATTTCTCCGCTTGATCAGTCAACACATTAATTAATACATTTTCAAACGCTCATATTTGATTTATCCAAGAAAAAGTATATCCTTTGGCTTGTATATAGGTTTTGTCATAATTTTAAACTATCGGTAAACGGTTTTGTGAACACCCTTCAATACTTAACAAAACGTTTTAATGTAATTTTAAAATCAAATTTACAGTTGATATCAGTTGTAAAAGTTATATTTGAAATCCTCTCAGTGATTGAAATTTAAATGCTTTGACTAGCATTCTAGACACAGAGTGTTTAGAAAAATTGTCAAAATTATCAAAGATAGATTAAGTTTGAAGCAAGTTTGCACCAAAATGTGCCGTTTTGTGCATAATATAAATTTTGTTCATTTGATATGAATTTTGTTCAGAATGCAACATTTTTAGGCGTATGTATATATGCGTGCTGTTTTGCTGAAGAGTTAGTGAGTTCCTTGGCTCATGCTAATGACTTTCATAATTGCTTTGCTTGTTAAAAAACTAACATTATACATAAACAAACCGAGCTTATTGAGTAAAATTTTAATGGAAACAGTAAGTTTTGATGTCAACTTTATAACAAACCGGAATAAGTTTGAGAATAGAATGAAAAAAACAGTCAATTAAGCTTTTTTACTTGTGTAAGCTAAGTGACAGGCTCTACGGATACGAGGAGATGCTTAGTATCATGGTTTATCTGTAAATCAGCAGTCACCATAGTTCAGCTAAGTGTTTTTTATCGCTTTTATCCTAACTGTTTTGACTCACTTATATTTACAGAGCTTCGTCTGTTAATCTTTATTGTCGAGCATTAAAACCGAGTGTTTATTTAAAGCATCCCAACTCAGTTTATTTTTCACGTAAATTATGTGTACGTGTTAAACAAATTTTCGAGCATCCTTAAAAGTAGTTTGAATACGTTAAGTGAAATTATCATCTCATATTGTTGTAATATTATAACTTTTCGTTGTTATGTATGTTTTTAGGTTCCTTTTACATTGCTTATCTGTTGATATTCAGGAATATACTTACTTTTAATATAAACATATACTTCATAAAATTAATAAATGTTGTTATCACGACTAGAGCAACTTTACCTTAGGCGTTCTAATAATCCAAGATTTAGAAAAGGACTTGCATCTTTGCGATGCGCAAGAACATATTCCGTCGCAATGGATCCCGAATGGATGGAACTGGCCAAGAAGGAATTGAAAGGCAAGGATCCAGAAACTCTTGTGTATAAAAACTATGAGGTGAAACAGCTTTTACATTTTAAATCTATAATCTTCTAGGGTATTAACTATAAACCACTTTATTCAAATGAAGATATAGCTGGACTAGTGAAAGAGGTTCCGGGAAAATTCCCATTTACTCGAGGTCCCTATGCTACTATGTATACTCAAAAACCGTGGACTATCAGACAAGTAACATTTTTTTGTTTTTTTATATCATCGTTTATACAAGTATGCGGGCTTTTCAACTGTGGAAGAAAGCAATAAATTTTATAAAGATAACATTAAGGCTGGGGTTCAAGGTCTTAGTGTTGCCTTTGATTTAGCTACACATAGAGGTATGTAGGCTCACATTGTGTGATGGGTTTTCCCCGAAGGTTATGATTCAGATAATCCTCGTGTGCATGGTGATGTTGGCATGGCAGGTGTGGCTATTGATACCGTCAATGATATGGTTAGATTATTCGATGGTATACCTTTAAACAAGATTAGTACATCAATGACTATGAATGGTGCTGTGCTTCCTGTATTGGCTTTTTTCATTGTTGCAGCAGAAGAACAGGTAATTTATGTTGTTTTGTTTTATGTCTACCCTTTAAACTATCTTGTATTATATTGCATTTATTGACGCTTGTATAAATAAAGTAAAACTGCGACAAATCCTAACCCTTAGTTTATCAATACTTTCGGCGGCCTAATATAGAGCAATCACTTATGTACACATCAACTATATTGGTGTAGCATTGCTGACTTTAATGATCTTAGCCGTGATTTCAGTTGATTTTTACAGGAAAGTTTAAGTAGATGTAATGTTGCACCTAGAACACTTAGTTTTGATGAAGATTCTTGATAAAACAGTAGTTTTAATAAATCGAATCCAACAAACAAGCGTAGACTCATATCAAATCTGATCAACACGTTATTTGTGAAGGATATGGATTTTACTGATTGTCCAAACCGAAGTTAGTGACCTGGTTTGTAACCAGCAGTCCAGTGAATGAAAGTCATTTATCTTAACCACTGACCAATCAATCCTAACTCCAGGTGGTTACGAGACTAAGTCAATGCAATTTGTTTAAGCACAATAAGGAAACAAGAAAAGCTATTTTACAATGATCATAACGTTGCTAACAGTGGTGGGAGACTGAAAATTTCAAAAATTATTGGGAAAATTTAATAGACCGGCGATTGTATTGCAAAATTATACTGTGGTCAAAACTTAAATTAGGCTAAATAATATTTTAATCGATTTCATAATTACATCACTGTTATGACCTGGTATTCGCTACACGATTCAAAAATATCAACGCAGTACTAAATAAGAACCTAATGCAGTTAGTTAAAGTACGCAATTACCCTTCTGTACTGTGTCCCTAATATTATTGATGCGATTTTTGACTATGAAGAAGAAAAAAGGAAGATAAGCCTGGTTTGTGACTACAAAAACATATTTTGATAAAAATACTGCCCTTTATGAACTGATTTCCCACCCAACTATTATTGATTACAATTAAACACATAACTTTAACGAATCTCTTACTAAAAAATGTCAAAACTGAGTGAGAACAATGGAGCTTACCAGAGTACAATATAACGACATATTGAAATAATGAATTACTGGAGTCGTTAAGATATAGTCTAACTTAAAACTAAACGATTATGGTGTTTAATCGGTCAATAATCGTTTTCCTGATCACTCCTTATCAATCATCTAACTTTGAACTCATCCACACTTATATCAAGTCTTATATTGATTATGCTTAACTGATTGACATATAACTTAAAACTTCTGATAAATTGTGATTATTGCAACCTTTCCATACAACACAGACATACGATCAATGTCATCACAGACTGATGCTACTTCTTGAACTGATCACTCATAATCTTATTTCAACTTGCTTGTGGGGAGTCTGCTGAGTATAATTAATCTATATTCCGACCTCCTGAGTCGATGAAAGTTTACAATCTTATCGGCTTTTTACATGGATGTAGTACTCCATGCTTAACACAGGGCGAACTTCTGCTAGTTATACTCAGTTTTTTAGAGGCAGATGGATATCCCGCTTTTGTTATCAGTGACTGAAGTCAATAAAATATAAATAACGATCTACCTTCTATTCAAACAGCCCGTCAGTCATCAGCCTACCAGGACGAACAGCATCCCACAGACAAGTGGTATAATATGCGGGTCTAGTTACTTAATTTTCTATTGTAAAGCCATAGAAAAATGTAAATTTATGGGGTGCATTTCAAAGGTTCGTACAGTCTCGGCGTATTCGAAAGACTCCATTTCGCAAGCTTTTTGGCTAAACGAGTTCATGTTTTTCAAATATTATTTATCAACAAGATATTTCCTGCGTAAGAGATCAATTTCTGAGAAGTCAGACAAAAAAATCATACTTAATTCGTATCCTTAAAAGAATTGAATAGTGATGTGGAAAGTTGACAAACTGAACAAATACTACCTTAGACAATCATTCACTGTGATATCTAATCACGTAACACAACTAATTCAGATGATTTTACACCCAGCTTCCAAACTCTGGTTGATATATCAATTGTCCCAATTTATAATTTCTTAACCACCTTAATGGTTGGTCCACGTAAACTTTCTGCTGTATGTCACTTTAAGTTTAGCTTAACCTTCTTTAACATGCTTAGAGTTGATATTTTATTATCCAGAAATATAAGTAATCAGTAAACAGATACAAAATAATGTGAGATTATGTATATAAGTGGTACAACATCCAGTAATAAGTAAATTTACATCCATCCCACAAATACATTGTTTTCAGATAAGCTTATGTAGGTTTCAAGATTTCAGTCCATTCAAATATCATGATAATTTAGAAAGGAGAAAGATAATCAAAGACACAAAATGATGACCTCATACTCAGAATCCGCTTACTTCTAGTAGAAAAAGGGACTTGACAATAGTTGACAGTCATTAAAAATTTTTTAATGGAGACTAAAAACAGAATAAACAAAAATCTAAAGGAGTTGTAAAGTAACGTAAATGAATTTATGTGTATTATGTCGACTGATCCCTACTTCTCAAACTTAGGGTCAACAACCATCAAGTCCCAACTACTAACATCATTTCAGCTGGGTGGTCTGAATTATTAAAATTGACACATCTTCACTCTACATCACTGTAAGAGTAGATGGACTAAGGCTAACAGTGGAATAGAGGACCCATATTTTGTCCCATTTGGGACAAGTCAGCTAGATGTACTCTTGACCCAGTGCTGATATTTACATTTTAACCTGTACCCAGTAGCTTTCACTTTAAACGCGAAAGCATCATTAATGGTGGTATAAACTTATCCATTGAACAATTCAGTGGCTATTTGACCTTAATAACCCAGTGGATAAGAGGTTGAAGTTTGAAAAGAAAGGTACTTGGGTTTGGACCGCAACATAAAAATCAATAGTGGGATCCACGAATATTCATCTGGAAAGTAGCAAATAGGGAGAAATATGCTTTCTGTTAGTCACAATCCATCAATTCCAAAAACTTTACAACAAAATGGCCATATTGTGGCAATTTGCACGAGATGCACTTATCTAGACGAAGATTGATAATATTTCAGTATCAACAACGGGCTAATTCAATCACTCATTATTAGTGATATTTACCGTAAAACTTCTTTTCTACGTATTGTAATAATCAAGCGTATAAAACCTAAACGCTTTTAGACTAAATAACAATATACTAATCATAAACATTCATTCTACCTTTTGATTATATTAGAGGGGAACTAGTTGGATTAACAACAGTTCTTAATAGTAATTTAACGTGACAAAAAGGTGCTTTTATTGATTTGGATGTCCCCATTAAGGCTTTTAGATTTGTATCAGTAATTTTTAGTAATTATGAATTACTGTTAGTAGCGCAATCTAGGAGGCGCTTTTCGTCATATCTGAGACTCATTAGTTGAATACATCTGCCCCATTCCGGCATTGATATTCACACCGGGACTCAAACTTAATATCTTTTGATTCAAATATCAACTGGTAATTAATAATAACATAAAAGTGATCTGCTTAGAATGCTCATATAACAACAACAACTAAGCATATATATATATATATATATATATATATATATATATATATATATATCAGTAAACTATTTTTATTTGTGGTAAAACCATTATTCTTCCGTTCAATGAATCTTTATAGGGTGCAAAACAATCGGAATTAGCGGGAACTATTCAAAATGATATATTAAAAGAATTTATGGTCAGAAATACATATATTTTCCCACCAAAACCATCAATGAGAATTATTAGTGATATATTTGCTTATACAGCCAAAGTAAGCATGCACTTATTCTCTATTTTAATCTATTTTATCTCTTATTTTCTTATGATATATTGTGAAAAGTTTACATTGATCTTTCTTACGATTTCTTAAAAATTATATATATATATATATATATATATATATATATATATATATATATATCTTATGGGTCATATATGCAATCGACCTATATATTTAGGACATTATTATTCTAGAAAGTTTTAAAAATTGGTTTCTTAAGTATTTAAAGAAAATAGTAGGTTTATTTGATGCTCAGCATCATTTATGGCACCAATGGAATGCCTAAATGTCAATCAATTATGATAGATAATGTAGCTGATTTGAAAGTATTCTCACAATATGTTTCTTGTTTATGAAGATAACAGCTGAATAGGAGATGATCTGAAGGTTAAATTGTACATGTAATGATTTGAAATGACTAATTAGCTATTCGTAGCTGATTCTTGTAAATGTCGGTGATAAATCTTCTGACTGGACGCTTAAGTCGGTTTCCTTAGCTCTTTTAATGACCCCTGGCTAACTCTACACAACAACGTGAACACAAGAGCGAAGGTGCGTAATATGAAAAGAATTCCTCATACCAAGGTTAGTTAATGTACAGAAGACCTAGGGTATTCATAGTATATCAGATGGCCTTGGGTTTCTGGAAAGTTCTGAAACCCTACTAAACATTGTATCAGGATAAGTAATCGTCCAATCAAAAATGTGGCATGTGACTTCACTTTCTAGATGTTTCTGAGAAGCTTCTATTCAGTGCCGATAGGATAATATGTTTCTCAGCGTTTTCAGGGCCTCTTTGATCTTTTTTCGAAGAATTTTTCCGGTCTCCTCAACAGCTGGTAAGTACATATCAGAGTCAATAAATTTTGAAGTGATTCTTACAAATCATGAAGTTAGGAATTCCAAATCAAATGAATGTATGTCTTTCTTTAACCATCTTCACTAAAACCAATATATCAAGTTTTGACCAATATATTTTAAGAAGGGTAGGGGTTCAAATTGAGGTTATATATTCATAAAATAACTGACTAACTAATCAATCTCATGAAATAACACGTTTATCAATTATCTCTTGTGTTTCATTGCTTTTCTTTTTACTCTTAATCAACTCTCATATCATCCATAGAATATGCCCAAATTTAATTCAATCTCTATTTCTGGCTATCATATGCAAGAAGCTGGTGCAAGCGCTGTCTTAGAAATGGCTTATACTATTGCTGATGGTATTGACTATTGCCGATTAGGTGTTAATCATGCTGGTTTAAATATCGATGCTTTTGCTCCACGTCTGTCATTCTTCTGGGGTATTGGAATGAATTTTCATATGGTTAGTTATTAGTTATATATATAACTAAATAATGGATAAACCTTTGTTTGTTTTCTCCCACTATTGGCCGAATCAGTGTCTTTTTTTTCAATCGATCCATTTTTTTCTACATATTTCATGTAGTTTGAACATTGTCCTAAAAGTAAATGTTGAAATGTTAATCTGAGGAGTCTGAAACTGGAACGTGAATTCGAATTCAATTTATTCTTACTTTTAACTTGTGTTTTTAGCATAGATAATTAAAAGCAAACAGAAATTACGGTTCTTGTAAGCTTATGCATGTTGCATTTATTGATTAAGACATATACTCATCTGTTGAGATCACTAACAGATTAAAGTTAGGGATTAATTGAAATCTAGAAAGCACTGAATAACTGCTGGTTTATCATATGCTCATTAGTGACTAATTTCGAGACGTAATTGCCAGAAATTTGATATACTCATCTAACTGATCAAACCTCACTAAGAGTGTGAAACTGTGTTTGAAACACTGACTTATTACTAAAAGTTTGATCTAAATAGAAAACACGCATTTTTTTATACTTGAACAAACATATTTAACATAATCTATATTACTTTTCAAAGTGTACAACGACCGTACTTCTGTAAATAATCCTGCTAACTAGGCCAACTTGATTGCGGAATGTGTTAAGATTGTGTTGACTTTGAATGCTCTACGTATTTACAGTTATACATCTAAATAGAAAAAACATCTGAGAATTTATACAGCTTTAATGATTTGTTTTACTTCACTGGAAAGTCATAATTGTCTCTTTATTGATCAAAGTCATTTTTTACTTATCAACTCACATATCGAAAATTCTTAGATGGAACTTTTGCATCATCTTAAATTGAAGTGTAACTAATCGTTCCGTGTCCGTTCATTACGTTATCGTTTATAATTGTTGTTGACTTAGTTACAAATAAAAATATCTCATCACTGATAGTAAATATGTAAAAATGGGTGCATCCATAAACGTGACACCAGTTTGAGCGTCATCATTCAAAGTTTCAAATCAATAGTTTCAGTTGTTTTGTAGATATCATCTACATAATCTATCATTTCTGTATATACTACTCATATCAACTCTTCGAAATTTTCTGAATTAAGATAAATCAGTCAAAAATGAATTTTGTTTTCATGTAATTACATTTTTTTAGCCAATGTCAAATAGACAAATATACATCGAAAAAAAACGTTTGAAAATGTTTCCAAGCGTTGAAAGACCCAAGTCATAACTCAAAGGGTAATAAAAAATAACCAGCTGAAAATAGATTATAGATGAGAAATAATTATTTACTTGATTAATGTTAAGAAAAAGTGAATCAAACTAGGCTGTAGCAACTTTTAAAATCAGAAAAAAAATTATTTTTTTGTTTAGAAAAAAATTGCATAAATCAAGATAAAACAAGGATCTGGATATTCTTACCAATATAGCCTCTAAAACACCAACCAGAATTCGTTCAGCACTAATATCCTTGAGTTAATGCCAAGCTCTTATCGGTTCACAATTCTCTAGCTGAAATTATAATATATGAGTGACCTGTTGAGCGATGTTTTAGTATCCTTGACAATGTTCACCTACTTCCTAGGGTTAAATGACGATTATAAATTAGTGTTAGGAATTTATTAGGGTTTTCATGACGAAAATGGTATTTAGTCGTATGGTCAAATAAATTACTCAGCGTAATTCAAGACCTGATATCTTAAATCTGATTGGCTCAACCATAAATTAGTTTCGCCGACGTAGTTTACATACATGCAGATCAGACCGTATCACACCATAAAAAGGGAAACAATTGTACATGATCCAGCCAAAAAGTTTCTGTGAGTATGGAGAGACTATGAATTATAAACTAATAACATATTAAGAATAGTGAATCATACAACAGTAGTAAGTGAGTTATTCAAAAACATGGCAAAGGGAATATTATATATATATATATATATATATATATATATATATATATATATTAATAGTTCAGATCATGAGTCAATTGAAGCTAGACCACCATGGAAAACCTGGAAGCACCGGACGACTGTTTCGTCTTATTTTGCGCATCCACAGCATTGCTGAGGAGTCCCACAATCGGACGAAACGGCCGTACAGTGCTCTCAGGTTTTCAATGGTGGTCTAACATTCATCGATTCATGATCTCAACCAAAAACTTAACAATCTCCACAACCTCCTACTGATAATTTGTTTTTAAACAAAAATTTACAAGATCAATCATCAGAAGTTCAAAATGGTAATTTTATTACACTTTAATGGTCTTAGCAATTTACCATATGTTTTGTCCATATAACTATTCCTGTAATGAATTCACCTTCTTTCTTTTCCTAACTACCTACCTTTCTGATATATTTTATTGGCTAAAAAATATCATACGTAATTTTTCAGGAGATTGCTAAAATGAGAGCAGCACGACGAGTTTGGGCGAAATTAATAAAGGAGAAATTTCAAGCGAAATCACCTAAATCTTTGCTACTTCGTGCTCATTGTCAAACCTCTGGATGGTCATTAACAGAACAGGTCAGTTGTTTTTTATTGTTGTCGCTGTTTTCGTTTGGAGGTTTAGGTGGAGGTGTCGTATTCATCAGTATGATATGTAAATTATGTTACAGGAACAATACCATATTATTGGAATTAACGGATAGGGGCTACGTTTAAGTAGAAAGAACAAGCACAAGTGATTATACATTCGACATCGTCTTGATATTGATCAACAGCTAGACTGATTTTGCCTACTGTTTCAATGATGATAGTTTTTAGGATTTATCTTGTCCACCAGCCTTAAAACTAACTATTAAAACTTGGGGATTTATGTAAATGTTTCTAAAATTTAGTAATGTGGCCTCTGAATCAAGACAAAGCGTCATCCCATGAAAACCTTGAGTGTTAGATTGACCCATGTACGTAGATACAGACTATCTGGTTGTGGAATGCACGATAAAATGAATCGATGGCTAGATACTTTAAATGACATGACTCAGAATTAGTCACAACGTGTCAGATGTATTCATTTTTATTTTAACTTAGATCTGTAGTTCCAGAATTTCCCCATACATACATTATCATTCTGTGTCCTTGAACCCCATTCTCATTGTTTGATCTATCCTATTATCATTGATATTATATTATACTGACTCCTTTGCTAATTATTGTGTTAATTTCATCTCGCCATCCCTATGCGATATATGATCTTGACCTAATCTATATATATTACAGGATATACGTTGATTATGACCGTCAAATTGAGTGTGGTGTTTTAACATGAATATTTTCTTTCTTTTCCATGTTTTTTTCATTATTTCTTTTATATTTTTAGGATCCATACAATAATATTATTCGTACTACTATCGAAGCAATGGCTGCTGTATTCGGTGGATGTCAATCATTGCATACAAATTCATTTGATGAAGCACTTGGACTGCCAACAAAATTTTCTGCACGTATTGCTCGTAATACACAAATTATTATTCAAGAGGAAACAATGATTACTAAAGTTGCTGATCCATGGGCTGGCTCATTTATGATGGAAAAGTTGACAGCAGAATTAGAAGCAGCTGCTTTAAAAGAAATCGAAGAAGTGATTTTTCTAATTAATTTTCGTAGAGAAGTTTTTTAATACTAACCTTTTTGCCATTTACATCATGAGCTTACTCTAGTTAGGCATCCATTGGAAACCAGGAAATACCAGACAGTTATTCTGTCCTAGTGTGGGTTTCCTCAACACGATCCCACTGGCGATCAAATCCAAAACTTTGAGATTTAGACTTGAGTTCTTCATCTTCTGATCACTGATACACTATCAGTGACATATCACAACCATCTTCTAATTTCACTGGTGGATTAGTGTTTCACATTCGACGTGGCTAAAATCCACTGGTCATGGCGTTTCGTGGAGAATTACCACTGAAAACTCATCTCTATTAATATTATAATTATTGTCATTTACTATTCTAAGGATTTGTGGAGATTGTTGAATCCCATAGTTTACATCACGAACTGAGTGTAATTAGACGATTACATGTTCTCAACAATTATACTATTATTATTATTATCTTAGTCATTACCTAAGGTTAATTTTACATTTTACTTTTTCATAGATTGAACACATGGGTGGAATGGCTAAAGCTATTGAGTCCGGTATTCCAAAATTACGTATTGAAGAGTGTGCAGCTAAACGACAAGCGGCTATCGATTCCTGTCAAGGTTATTACTTGTTTTTTACTTATTATTTCTATAATGACTAATGTAATCCTGACTGATCCGTTTTTCATACAAGATCATTTCCTTTAAATCTCAAATTAATGTATTAGAAGAGAGAACTTCTGAACAACTGTTTATATATGCTTATGTATCATTAACGAACCTATAAGTGTTATATACAAGTTATTTAGTCTATCATAAGTAGCATAGAACCTCGGATTTATTTATATCGGTTCAAGCTGCCACATTATATCAGCACAGTATCAAAAAAGTCCAACAGTATTAGAACTAATAACAAAATCAGTAGTAGTAGAAACTAATCAACAATAGTCAATATCAATTATTAAGATCATGAGTCAATTGAAGCTAGACCATCATGGAAAACCTGGAAGCACTGGACGGCCGTTTCGTCCTATCATGGGACTCCTCAGCAGTGCGCATCCACGACCTCACCCCCTGCGAGATTTGAACCCAGGACCGGCCGTCCAGTGCTTCCAGGTTTTCCATGGTGGTCTAGCTTCAAATGACTCATGATCTTAATCATTGAAATTACTACAACCTCCACAAAACCCCTTCTGACAATAGTCAATATCATTTGAGAAAAGAGAATAAGTTCATGGAGTAAAAACTATAAGAGTATTTTCAAACCCAAGGTCTAAAGGAAAATGAATCGCGGTTTAAAAATCCCCATAGAATTTTCAAAAATGAAGAATATTTGAGTGAACAATTGTTTTCAATAACTTCATCATCAGGCTCTACAGTTATAAGTCCATAATTATGATATTTTACAAAGGCCAAAACAAGGCATGCATTAATACTAACCTTGTATCTGACTACTTGATATCACGTTATGATTAGTAATCGATATAAAAGTGGGCTTAGTTCAAGAATGTATAGGAATTTATTCAACATCTCATATACAATTGAAGTCAGTTTGTTTTCAGAAAAGTAATTGATACCTTCTTTCTCTGCATTTCTTTTTTAAATCTTTTCTGCTCTTTGCTCTTTTAACCTCAGAACATAGTCTGGACAAAGATCTTATATGGAGGAATATTTTGACAACTGACATACGAATGAAAAGATGAGGTAGAATTATGCAGACTAGCGCATATACTTCACACTTTAATAACCTTACATCATAATTCAAATTACTTGTGAAGTACGAATTTTTGTACTTGTCTTTGAATCATTCGGTTTATTTGTAGTATAGCTGTAACATAGCCATTTAAATTATAGTAGCTGGGGCTAGTTGGAAGTTAGGATGTATGACCTAATGGATGAAGATCACCAATCTGTTAGATTGAAGTAGAAGTTTTAAAACTAGTCCATGGAGGATTATTATGAATATTTTTACTACACATTTATTCAGTACTTGGTTTATTACATTTTTATGTTGTTATAATTGTAAGCCTTCGTTTCGCTTACTAACTGTTGATATATATATATATATATATATATATATATATATATATATATATATATATATATATATATATATAAAAGCGGTTTCAATTAATTATACTCCTACTGCTCAGTTTTATATCACATATGACCTAGTTATGTATAAATTATTGTTGTTTTTTTTTTTTTTTTGATGATGCGTTATAGTCATGTAATCGTTGTGTAATCTTATGAGTATTCGAGTCGGGGTGACAATACAGTGGTAGGAAAGTAAATCTTCTTGGTGTTTCGCTGTTCTGACTCACTGATGGGTATAAAAGGAGCTGTATGGACTAATAGGAATTAATATTTCTAGTGGTTGTCACGAATAATTTATAAAGCAAATTTTATACAATTAAATTGATTCTACAGGGTTCTAATAAACTGTTTCATTCAAATGTATATAATTTTAGGATGATTTATTGGACATTATCAAAATCAAACTATTTTTAAAATATACAATAATGAACTTTAGTTATATATTATTTGATGTTAATTCATATGAACAAATAAATTCCAAATTATAGTTGGTTTAGTGAACAAAAACAAAAACAGTCTTTCAAACAGTAATCAATAATAGAGACAGTTACATTGATATCGGTTCAATCTATCGATCTACATAAGTAATAAAAGGATAAACAACTACAAGGTTAAATTTTGTTTTTGGAAAAACAATTGGTTCACTTATATGTTTTACTGTATATTTAGTGATTAACTCTACAGAAAAATTGTTGATTATATCAGAAGTTATTATTAAAAATAGTCTTATCGAATTTGTTACAGCTCATTTCTTTATAGCGATGTTCTCTAATAGTCGTGTGGAGTAGTAGCTCTGGGATTAGAAAATTCAGTTTTCAGCTATTACATCCCAGGTTTGAGTCTCGTATCAGTGGCCTAGAGGTTAAGTACTCATTGTGAGACCATAGGTTGCGAGTTTAATTATCGATTGAGTCGTGGTTGGATAATACTGTGGAGTTTAAAACAGCTTTCCAATGCTTTCTAGTTTTCAATGGTTGTTTAACTTAAATCGATTCGCAATATCGATAGCATTCCACAATCTCTACAAACCTCTATACTGATAAAATTTATTAATTCAATAATCCCTTCATCTTGTTTTATCTCATATTTCAGTATTGCGAATAGTAACTATATTTTGCATATTTTCGACTTTTCTTTCTTTTAATCACAGAGGTTATTGTTGGTGTAAATAAATATAGATTGGAGAAAGAAGAACGCGTAGATGTACTCGTAGTAGACAATACTAAAGTTCGTGAATCTCAAATTGCAAAGCTTAAAAAAGTTCGCGCTGAACGTGACCAATCGAAAGTAAGTTGAACAGTTGTTTAAGATTTCAAACCCTTTTACCATTAACTGTCTGTCATTAACCACATTTAACTTCATCTCCTGTTAAAAGTTTGTAAATAGTTTCCACTTCCTAGTTTCAACGCTATAGATCGATCCTTCTTAGGGAATCTGAAACAGAAAACTGAGTTAGGGATGGTCTTGACGATCTGGGAGCGTGATTTTTTAGCTTATAGGACAACTACTTGATACTGGTCATACGAGTAGTTTTAGATTTGCTAGCTATGTACTTTTTGGACCTTACTGCTGGTGAAAGAAATCCATGGACCAAGGTGAAATGTGATATTTTCAGGGTTGACATTTTTTAACCTCTTTCTTCCCTTTTAAGGTAGCAGCATCTCAACATACGCTAGTTTTTTTTAAGTAAACTGCATATTGGCATTTCAACTCTGAACAGTTCATAGTACGACTTCTCCTTCGAACACTCTTTCAAACCGACCTGAGTGTCATGTTAGGACCTAAAGAAATGAGTATTCCAGTCAATATATTTCGATTGAGTCATAACGATATCCAAGCCCAACCATTACGTCAAGATTACAGCTATGGTCGATGTGTGGTGTAGTTATTTCAAAAGGTGCACTTATGTGTCAGGTTCTGACTGACCGGTTAAACCTCAACTCAGTATTTCCATACATATGGCCAGAACCCTTTAGGGAACACTTTGACTTGTCTTCAATAACAATTAAGTTACCCACTATCTTCAAGCAACCTGGATGCAAATTGATGTAAGTCTCCCACCTCTTTGTGAAGCTGAGAAAGCTATCGACAATCTAAAGCGAGGGAGAGCAGCAGGACCTAATGGATTAATCTCATTTTAATGGCTTTGATAGCTGATTGTTCCAGTTTATAAGAGAGCACAAAAATCTTCATATGATAATCATAGAGGAATCAGTTTGACGAATGTAATATCTAAAATATTACCTTCAATAATACTTTAACGTCCAACTAGAGCTCGTGAAGAAAAAACATCTGAATACCAGTCTGTTTTTACACCTGGACGTGTATTCACATATCAGATATTTGATTTGGTGAGCCAATCAAAAGAACCCAGATGGGGTCAATCAACGGCAATTCGAAGTGACTCGAAGGACAAGTACATATCATTGGCAAAGCAATAGATTCATTTATAAGGAGTAAAGATGTCTGTATAAAAATGAGAATTTGTGCGTTTACTTCGGTAGCCCAAGATACTTTCTCGTCCATTCTTGTGTTCTCACTGAAGTAGACCTTTGGGGCGTTAGTGCGTAACATGTCATGTATCAGTATCAGATTCCAGACACTGCCCATCATAACAATAATCACACTGCGATAGTTCATATAACACAGACATACTTTTCGAAGTCCAACAATAATTGTTTTCCTTGACCTTAAGGCGACGCTCGGCTGTGTTGATCGCAAGGTTCTGTGACAATGTTTGTCACTGAAAAACGTACCACATAAGTACATTAACCTTGTACACGTTCTCTAATCGAATACTATTGGTCAATTTAGAACGTATGTTGAACATTCACCGGAAGTGGTTACTTTAAGTTTGTCCGTTTTCCTTATCTTTAGTTAACGTTGTCGCATACATCCTTTAATAGGTAACGCTCTCATAAAAAAAATTTTCAGTGAGTGATCCACCAGGAGATTCACTTATTCACTTAGAATATGTTGTTGATATAGTTCTGTTTGGTGACAACACTGACAGAATACAGTCTTTTAACTATCTTAAGCAACAATACAAGCATGTTTGGGATGTGATTCTCTCACTCAAAATGCAAATTGAAGCTTCAACATTTACCTGTATCAGCGCCAGCTTTAATGATAAAATGTGAAGTAGTTGTGTGTATCAAACACTTCACCTACATTCAGAGTCTCATCACTCATGATGGTCTGCTGTCTGATGAAATCTAGACACGGATTCACAATGATCGATTCACTTTTGTCTACTTGAATCACTTGTTGCATGGGGCGAGAGATCCATCTTCCGATCAAACAACCAGTTTACCATGCAGCGTTTCACTCCATCCTACTTCATGTATGTGAAACATGTTCGTTAAGAATAGAGGATATTCGTAGTTTATTGGTATTCGACCACAAGTGTTTTCGAAGCATGTCTCGTGTATTTTGAGATCACTGGGTAAGGGATGATTGAGTTGACGATAGGATACTATGTAAGTATGGTAATACGATTGATGAGGTAGTAAATCTTTATCAAATGGTATTGCTTGGACATGTCTTGCCCATGCCCAACCACCGATAACCTCCGACGTACGATGTTGTTTAGTGTAGGAGTAAGTTTAAAGGAAACTAGGAACAAGCCGTAACCAGTGATTAAAGAATTTGAATGATATGATTCAAAATCATTTGGAATGATATTGGTCAATCAACTCTGAATTTTTCCCAGATTCTAGGCTTCTCAATTCCTCAACTTGAACCGGTATACATACATATGTGGTTTTACCTTAAATTTGACTGACTCACTAAAGAGAGTGCTAATTTTGTAACTGCCTGGAAATCTTTTTAACAGAAGTAGTTTTGATAACTTTTTTGCGTTTGAAGAACGAGATGTTATTCATTTGTTTTTTTTTCTAATATTCTAAATTTAATAACCTTGTACCTGGTGTTCATAAATAACCTAATAACTTTAGCAAAGTGTTTAGTGATTTACTTACATTAAATTTTATTCATAATACTTCTTTATATTTCTTCGGGATTTAATATTTTATCTTCCTGTTTATACTCATTTTTCGTACTGTCATTTGACTTAACTAACCGAACAACTAGTTATACAACACATCTAATATCATGTTTGTCTAGTCGTTAAAGTTAAATGAATTCTGACGGTTAAGTTACAATGAGGTCACTAGTCTAAGTGACTTAACATGGCATGCACTGTGTTGTGATGATAGATGGTTGAAGACAGTCAGCAGAAAACCCTGAATCTAAGTTTAGTACTAATTGTCACTCATCAACAAAGGATACTTGTAATCTTAAGGCGTCTAATACTCCCTATGTTTTATACTATACGATTGTTGTATTTAAGCCGCGATTGACCTCCTTTAGGATATCAATATTTATACTGATGGATCAACCCATAAAGTTATGACTAATCCCTTGTAAGGTTACATTTAAAGAGAAAATTCTAGTCAAAAGTCAAACATGTCTCAATGCCAATTACAGGAATACAATGTGTCCTTCTATTTCGTTGTTAGTTGTTATATTTCTTTGTACATATGTATATCGTCTCATCAATCTCTTATTTTGTAACTTGTGCACAAATTTATTCTGCAAGTCATTTATTTTATTTATTATTTTAATTCATAGAGTTTTATCTTGTTCTCAGGTAAGTTTGAAATGATTTTGATTTTACCGCCCCCCCTTCTAAACCTCTTAATATTTAGTTTTTTCTAAGTTGTTTTGAATTCTCAAATTACACTAATTTCTTCATTTCATTTTTTTCAATTAATTTTTTAACTTGATTAAATAAATCCAACCAACTATGTTATTCAAAGACAATGGAAGATGGTTGGACAATGTCGTAATGTGAATTAAGTTAAAAATTTATACACCAATGGATGTCGGCTCAGTGGTTTAGAAGTTAAGTGTCCGCGCGGGGTCGAAGGTCCTGGGTTCGACTCACGTGTGTGGAATTGTGGACGTTCACTTCTAAAGAGTACCATGGCAGAGTGAAACGGCCATCCAGTGCTTTGAGGTTTTAATAGGGGTCTCATATTGATCGCTTCATAATTTCAATGAAATTCAACAATCTGCACATCCTCATGCTGAAGATTACCTTTGATAGTGTTGAAGCGTAATAAAAAATCTAACCGTATGAAACTCAATAATGATCATAACCAAGTTCTGAGTCTCACCTGTTTCTTTTTAAATCAAGGCTAATAGTTCAACCTGCTTGAGCAAACTGTAATAGCCGGAGCATTGTAATGTATTACTAATGATTGTTTTTCATGGGGTCTTGGTCGAAGGCTAGACTAATTCATAGTACCGAACTTCTCTCAATCTATTTTGATTTGAGTCGCCAGGTAGTATTTCCTACCAGCCGTCATATTTTCAGTATGGCTCACAGCCAACTGCACGACTATATGCCAGCTTAATTAGTCAATAAAATAAAATTTATTTTTGTTTTTGACAGTGATATTTTTAACGTTATTTTTATGTTTTCTTTAATCCACACATTCACACACATGCGTACCTACTCTATTAGGCTGATTTATGCTTAGAAGCAATCAGTGATGCCTGTTCGAGTGATGATCGTAGTCAAAATCTGTTAGCATTATGTATTGAAGCTGCTCGAGCACGTTGTACCATTGGTGAGATAACCGATGCAATGGTTAAAGTATTTGGTCGTCATCAAGCTACTGATCATATTGTTTCAGGTGCATACAAAAGTCAATTCAGTGCAGATGAAGAATGGAAGCAAGTTATCAATGCTGTCGATGTAAGAGACAGTTACATTTTTGCTTTGTTTTGTTTATATTACTTTTTAGGTCATTAAGTGTGCTTTTGTTTTTTTTCTCGGTTTTTAATTATTGAAAAGCTGTAACTTATGCGAGTAGTATTCTATTTGTTTATCAAAAAATATTCTATTAAAATTAAATAAACCTATAAAGGATAGTCAATTCTTCGATGACACCATTTCTTGACGTTGTAATCATCCAAACCTGTGGATATTATTGAAGGATTACGTGGTTCCTAGTTTCTAGAAACTATTTTCCCCACAATCTAATTGTGATCAGTAATAGGTTGGTGTTTTTTAGTTCACATCACGGACTCATATTGATTAGACAACCACTGAACCATGAATAGTTGTTTCACCCCAGGATGACACTTATCAGCAGTGCGTATCCATGATCTCACCTGAAGTCTAACCCGAGGCTTTCAGACCTCATAGTTAGTGCTCAGCACACATGCTGTGTATTGATGAAGGGATATAATAAGAAAGTGATTATAACAGGACAGTTGTTTTAATTCCACTTGACTGATTTTATTATCTAGCGTGGATTTTACAAAATTGGATTTTCAACAGTTTAGAAGTTAAATCACTCAGTACATTGATCCACCTTAAGTTTCATTGTTGTAATATGGTATTGATTTTGCATATTCTCAATTAATCCAGACACTTCAACGTTGATTTGTCCTAATTCTGATTTATTTGAGGAATTTCAAATGTTTTGAACGGAGTGTGATGATTTATAACTTGTTATAAGATGTGAATAACTTATTGTGAAAATAAATTTTTATGAACTGTGAACTAAGTCAAAACTCTTAAGTAATCATGGAAGGTGGTTAGGATATGTATTACTTACAGCGATCTCAGCAGGTGATGTTTACTGATGTAAGAGTGAGTTGAAAGATAAGGTTTATCAAACCAAAACTTGACATCAGTCCATACAGCTATTTACTCTTAAACTGAGCCGCGTTGGTAGGTGTAGACTATTTAATTGGGATTTTTCTCAGTTATCGTAACCAATGGTTAAAGACATTAGATGATATATCTCAGAATTGACCACACTGACTTAGATGTATGCACTCCATATTTTCCTCTAGATTTCGGATTACAGTATTACTACTTACTTAGATTTCCATTATGTTTTATAAAACCATATTGTCACTGTTTAGTCTGTCTCATTATCACTGCTTCTACAACTATGCTGACTCGTTTAACTTTTATCCTGTTAATTTTACGTGATCAAGCCAATGTTATACGGTAATTTATGCTAGTGCATATTTGCGTGATACTCAACATTGATGATGTCTGACAAGCAAAAGACTTGACTCAAAGTACTTAGTTCATAAATTTGTACTTAACAAATAAGATTACTTGCCTATTAACCAACACTTGTTACCCTTCGTGGAGGAGCATAGGCCAACCACCAGCATTCTCCACACAACTCTGTCCAGGGCAGTCCTTTCCAGTTGCTATTCATCATTTTCATGTCTGCTTCCGATTCCTAACGCGATCTGTCCCTTGGTCTTCCTTCCCAAGTTAAAACTTGTCTCGTGATGCAGTCCTGTTCAGCTCTAGTGTCTTTTCCTAGTTTCCCTTTCAGTTGGAAGCCTATTTGTTCTCTCCCACAATAGGCTGTTTCTGATGGTATCTGGTCAACTGGCATTGAGTATCATTTGAAGACAATGATTTATAATTACTTATACATTTTTGACGGTGGTTGTGGTGTAGTGAACAAGAACACCAATGGGGACAATTGAATGTATCCAACAATAAACTACAGAACTAGTTAGTAAAACCTAACAACCATATATTAAATGCTCAATTTGCAAAATGTCCATCAGTTGTTCCAAATGACTCAAAATTCCTTTGTTCTTACATTTTCACACAAATTGCATGCTGTCTTCATTCTTTACTGTTCGGTCTTCTTGTCTCTCTGCTGCCAGACATTCTGTTCACGACAAACATCATTTACTACTTTTGTCTACATAAGTAGCACACACCACACTCGTTCTCGAAGTTTCAGCTTCGTACAGTGGAACTGTCTTGATGTTCGTATTAAAGATTCTGACTTTAATGTTGGCTGACAGTTTTTGTCAGTTCCATATGCTTTGCGATTGTAAAAATGCGGTCCCTTGATAAATAAGATACCTCCAAATGCCCTGGTACGGCCGAGGGTAGGGGGACTCATCTCTCCCTCTCGAAGTGCTCTCACATGACCACGAGTATGCAGCCAATGCCAGGAAATTTCTACTTACTGCTTTTTCATGGCGTTGGGGGGTTACGAAATTGAGAGGACGAAAGGCTAATGTCCGGCACTGTAACCAGGTTGATGGATATGTAGGATCCACCTGGACGAATTGGAAAACCCTGATTCCAAACCAATGCTGCACATAGACTCCAGGATACTTTGGAAAGAAATGGCGTATGAACTTATGGTTGGTCACCGTCTACGATGGGACTGCATCTCCTTACGTTGCTTCACTGCCTTATGGATTAGACCTCTAGGTTAAAGGCTCTGGGTGTGTCCCCCTAAGAAAACCACCTGCTTCGGTTTGAGCGTCCGGGAAGTATTCCAGCCCCTACACAAATCATTCGATTTATTTAACGCATATGTATTTGTTACCTCTTTGTACCAATGTTTGTTTGCTTAAATAAATAAGATACACTTTAAAAAAATCATACACAGAACGATCTATAAATACTACACAAATATTTTTTTTACATTGTAAAGTATTAAGTTATTTGAAATAGTGGCTTACTCATTATATATATGATTACTATATTTTCTTGCCTACTACAATTCATAAAATATGCTCATATTTCATCTTACACAATAAATATGCTTCATATAAGTTGCAAGCAAAGAATCATGAGAAGTTAAAGCTCTCAATACACTGTTAATACACTTAATAGTTCAATAATTTGATGAATACTTCGTTCAAACTGCATTAATGAAAAACTAGTCAATGCTTTTGATACTAAAATAATATATGTAGTATGTAAATGAGCGGTGTACGTCTCTTCTTTAGAGAATAATCAAGTTAGATTAGTAAAACAAAATATTTAGTACAATCAAATACAAAAGATCTGATCTCATATCCATGACATGTTACTTTTATCAAGATCACTCTTTATATGATATGATCGTGTGTATTCATTTTAGTTTTAAGAAAAAGTGTAATCTATGTAGTATGGAAGAAGTAATTTGAATATTTATATCTTTATTAGTGATGTGGATGAAATTAAACATGTGGTTATCCGGGTAAATAGTTAAAGTTTAATGGATAGTTATGCTTTCTTTTCTATTGAGCACAATAGAATTTAACATGATATGAAAAGTTTCAGGAATTATCCTTTTGTTAGTTTGATAGTTGTTGAATATAGCATGTACTGATATAATGTGGGTTTAATTTAAGGATTCTCGAGTTTTATAAGATTATTAGGTCTTTTTGAGCAGATTAGATGTTCCTTGGCACCAACTGAGATTTCACGAGAAGATACTTCAATATTAGGAAAAAACATCACAGTCGACATAACCTAATCCATAGACATAATTCTTATCTTTAGTTCTAACTAAAGCATTTCGTAGAGTGTTGGTTGTTGTTTTATAAAGTGCTTTAATTCTGCACAGTTTTTGGATACTTAGAGGTTCTTGTATTCTACCATGGCGATCAGATGACACTATGTTGCCAAAACATAATATATTATTCTAATTGTTTATCTTTTGAAGACAGGCCTTTCTGTTTTAATGTCTGTTTAATGATATTCTTAGAAAAGTTATTAAACCGGAACATGTTTTGTTCTTCTTTTGATTAATACTAACCTATTTGATTTCTTTTCTGATTGTTATTTCAAATTAATTCTCTTTTTTAATGTAGACATTTGCACATACTGAAGGACGTCGACCACGCATCCTTATAGCCAAACTTGGTCAAGATGGACATGATCGTGGTGGCAAAGTAATTGCTACTGGATTCTCTGATTTAGGCTTTGATGTTGATGTCGGTTCATTATTCTCGGTAAGTAGATTTTCTAATAAAAAATATATGACAAATATATTTCTATATTATCAGATTCTGTGAAGATTCTTGAATTTCAAAGTTTACATCATTCAAGTTTAAAGGAAATCTTATTACATTTATCGCTTAATTCATTTTATTTACTAATTGATTAATTTATATTCCATATAGACTCCAATAGAAGCTGCTCAACAAGCCATTGATGCTGATGTACACGTTGTTGGTGTTAGTTCATTAGCAGCTGGTCATAAAACATTAATTCCAGAATTAATTAAAGAATTACGAAAACTTGGAGGACAGTAAGTTGAAGAAATTAGATGTCTTTTCTTTTTGTCTTCATTCAATTAGTATAACTGTTGTATCTTGTGATTTAAATTCGACTCAGTCTATAATCATTGGCATTATAAGTGGTCGAAGCTATTCTCATATAATAAAACAACAAATGACATACGTTGAGCAATTGATAAGCTTAAAATCTGGAAGAAAACAAAAAATAGATCTATCATTTCGAAAGATTTTAAGTCACGTCATTCAAAGACTCTATTCATTGGTTGTGATAACCACGCGGACCTCAACTAGATGATGATCTACACCTGTTAAAACGGCTCAGTTCTATTGTCAATTACTTCATGGAGTGGTGTCATGTCTCGATCTGAATATTTCCTGCTTTATTCAAATATACTCTTACACCAGACACCAACTCCCGTCAAAGTAGTCAGTAGTTGTGGATACCTAACGCTACCATTTGATAAAGATTTACTACCTCATCAATCGTATTACCATACTTACATAGTATCCTATCCTCAACTCAATCATCCCTTACCCAGTGATCTCAAAATACACGAGACATGCTTCGAAAACACTTGTGGTCGAATACCAATAAACTACGAATATCCTCTATTCTTAACGAACATGTTTCACATACATGAAGTAGGATGGAGTGAAATGCTGCATGGTAAACTGGTTGTTTGATCGGAAGATGGATCTCTCGCCCCATGCAACAAGTGATTCAAGTAGACAAAAGTGAATCGATCATTGTGAATCCGTGTCTAGATTTCATCAGACAGCAGACCATCATGAGTGATGAGACTCTGAATGTAGGTGAAGTGTTTGATACACACAACTACTTCACATTTTATCATTAAAGCTGGCGCTGATACAGGTAAATGTTGAAGCTTCAATTTGCATTTTGAGTGAGAGAATTGCATTCTAAACATGGCTATTTAATCTCTATATATCTGACTGAAAGCTTACTTGATTATATAAACGCACCATAATTTAAGAAAACACAACATATACCCACCCAGTACATTTGCGCCTCAAAGTACCCTTAAAACATAGCTTCTAAAATCCATCATTTCCACGTATTCATCTTGTCTTAACAACAATATTTGTTTTCTTAACTAAAATCAATTTTCCCGTTAATGCCATAGTGATAGGCTATATATATATGAATTCTGTCTTATAACTGAACTGATAAGATGACATTATGCGAACAAGATTAAAACAACCTACACAGATTCTGAGCCAATCTTCAGCCAATCAGAAAATAGCCTTTGTTAATGTATAGGTTATTGGAAAAAAACAGTAACATTACAAAGTATGAACAGATTTCTACACGTTATGTTTTATTTGTAAATTAAAAGCTCAATAAAAACATACATTTGTTCAGATGGAAAGATCTGTCTTCTAAAATCCTTGTCATAACTCAAAGAGAGATTTAAAAGTTACTATATTGTCTTTGATTAAAATTAGATATTAACGGTAAGTTTTGGGAGGCTCAGGATTTGAGCTTCCCACCACCAATCAGCATCAAACCTAATTCAAAAAAGTACTCTGTAGCCATATACATGAGTGGATTTTAGACAAAAGTTTAAAAGGCCTTGTCCGATTAGTATATAAGTAAAATATTTTGCTATCAGATTACTGTTCGTTTCGGAACTAAGTCTTTAGGTTCCGATTTATAGATAGTGTTGATTTACCTGTGATATATAGGAAGAATTGAGTATTTACCTTCGCGAAAAAAATTAATTCTCCATTATCGTTTAAAACGTTTTGAACACTGTAGAAAGATATCTCTAATGCTTGCTGTCCGTAGGACAAATTTTAGGAATGTTAATATACGTCAGAACTAAGCAGAGTTTTGATAGTATGAAACATTTTCACATGCAGCTACCAATTTGTCGATCTCAGTTATTAAACAAGTGAACTACGATATCTAAATTTCAGTCGAATATTTGTTTCATTTTGCTTACTGAATGTGTTATACCAGACCATTTCGTGAATAAGAGATACTTCTTCAGTAGGTTAAATGACTGAATCACAATAAAGTATCATAAACATCAGTTACTCATAAACAAGATGAGACCTGACACAATTATACAAATAACTCGAATTACCACAATCAACAGTAGCACGGAGGAAATTGACTAGATGTCGCTCATATGAATTGAACTGATAGTATTAATAGTGATAAAAAACTAAACACAGAATATAACTTCTACGGACTGAGTTAGATAGCGGCTAACAGTAAAATACAGGACATGCGTTTCGTCCTATTTAGGACTCATTAGTTTGACATACCTGCATCCTAGTGTTGATTCTCACTTCAACAAGAGAACTCAATGTCTTTTGTTTCAAAAGCCAAAACTTTATCTACTTAATCAGTGTTTCCAGATAGCCACTAAATTGTGAGACGGAGACAAATTACAATTAAGTCATAAAGATTTGAATCTCCCCGTAGTTAGTTCTAAGGACTTCAATTTAATCACCCATATTGATCTTTTGAACTGATTGCCAATTATACCTTGTCCCAGCGCGGAACTCCGCACTAGTAAACAGATAACTATCTCACCAATAGAACTGTGGATTTGTTTTAACATTTTTGGCTTTTCACTATGATCATGAAGCGATCAGTGCAAGACCACCATTAAAAACCTGAAAGCACTAGACGACCGTTTCGTCCTAGTATGGAACTCAGGAGTGCATACACACGGCTCCGTATGCAGGACCTTTGTTTTTGTGAGCAAACGCTTAACCTCTTTTCTGTTTATTTATCTATTTATTTACTTGTCTATTCTGTCATATAGAAATGTTGTTGTTGTTGCTGGCGGAGTTATTCCACCTCAAGATTATGATTTTCTTTATGAAAATGGTGTTTCTTGTATATTCGGTCCTGGGACACGTATTACGGATGCTGCTATGAAAGTGTTGAATGCAATCAAATCAAAATGTCATGATAATCATAATAATAATACTGAACAGAAAAAATCATCCGGTCAATAAGTTCATGCAATTCATCAATTGATTAGTTTTCTGTAGTTATCTATTACATTCTTATTTGTTCAAGTAAAGGTATATTTGTCCCCGTTATTTTTTACTTAATGCATCATTCGTACAGGTATTTATGTCAAAATATTATTATTATTATTACTATGATCATGTGATTATCAAATATAATTACATGATACAAGCTGTTCTAAACAATTAACATTACATACGATCTTATTTAATAAAAACAATCTAACCAACGAATAACTCATGTGAATTAACATACTACTTAAAGGTATACAATAATTATCAGTAACATTTTTATTATTATCTTTTCTGCTCCAGTTCATTTTATACTATTTATTGTTTATTAAACATTATCTATACAAAATGCTTTTTTTTTTATTTTCGTTGTTAACAACCTGGATTAATCTTTATTAAACAGCCTTTGAAGACCCAGAAGTCCTAGATAGTTGTTTCGTCGAATATATGATGACTCAGAATTCCACAACCACCATCAAATCACAAACAATCAGAACAAACACCTTCGATCTCATGCACAAATGCTTACTGCTAAACCACTCAGTTGGAATTCAATGATATATTTGTCAAACTGCAATCAATTCGTAATATTACACAACAATCTTCCAATGTATTTGATGGGTAACTGATTTACACTCAACATGTTTGAACGTCATTGGCCACGACCTTACTCTTGACCTCCGGAATTACCTCTTGAAGTTAGTCACTAACAAGCACATGATTGCTAATTATGTTATGGTTGTTTTTGAGATCTTTGTCAAGCAATGATTAAAATTCAAAAGGCATTACACAACTGTTTCATTGCACGATATTACGAGTTGATTCATGGTAAAAATGTTAACCATTAATACCGGCTCAGTGGTGTAGAGGTTAAGCGCTTACGCACGAGACAGAAGGTCCTGGGTCCAATCCACTGTGGTGCGGTGGTGGATGCACACTACTGAAAATCCCCATATTCGGACGAAACAACTGTTGGTGCATCCTGGTTTTTAGTGACTATTTAACAAGGATCAGTACAGTATGTTAAGATTAAAAATTCAAGAATCTTCATAATCCCCTCATAGTAATTAGTCAACCGATAGCTGCGAGTAGCCATTAAATCACGTATACACTAACATTGTCTAGGACTGGAAAGATTTGATGTGTTATCAATTGTGTCAATGCACACAGACACCTACGAACAGAAATTCGATTGAGAAAATGTCGAGATGAGAAAATATTAGGTAAATCAGACTATTTCTAGAAGCATGAAACTTAATTTTTAATCAACAGATACAATGACATATATCCAATTCATCAGTTCATTCGGTAAAGATCAAAAGTCGAGTGAACAAAATAGCTGACGGGATCACAAGGACACATAAAGAAAATAAAACTCGCACAGACGCTCAGCTGAAAACAAGCTGACTTACTTGATTTTATGTGAAGTAATTAAAATTTTTACTTCCATTTAAAGCAAGTGCTGTTTGTAACCTTTAGAGCAACGTCGAAAATTTTAATGTTAGAGCATCCAGTACAGAGCACGCAACACTACCAAAATCACAAATGTGCACATTGAGATTTAGGGAAAGTACGTACACACAATTAATAAAATTAAACGAAAATCAATTTATGAATGAATACAGGACATATACATATCAGTTCAAGTTTTCACAACATATCACCACGGCAACATAACATCAAAACAAATGCCGGAGTGGTAGAAATAATAGAAGTTTCAATTATAGTAATATAAACATTAGGTATAAAGGGCATAAGTTTATTATGAGGAAATTATGTAGCGAATCGAAAGGTATAAAATAATGTCGAAACTCAGAGTCTACGAGAAGACAAAAATAGACCGGATTTACTCCATTTTGACTTATTCTAATTCATGTAACTCAACATGTACAGCGATTCGCCATAACGATCATGTGGACCTTAACGATGAAATCTGCACTTACCAATATGACTCAGACTACCTAATCATTTTATACATTTTAATACTTATCATGAGATATATGTCACTATTAACACAAATCAACAAAATTGAAAGCTATTACCACCGTTGTACACTAGCTCAATGGTCTTGAGGTCAAACATTCGTATGCGAATGCGAATCGTTGATGCCCACTCCTGAAGAGTCCCATACTAGGACGAAAAGGTCGTCCAGTGCTTTCAGGTTATCAATGATGGTCTAACACTGGTAGGTTCCTGATCTCAACTAAATACTATATTGTGGTTCTATGAGAAGAAATGAGTGTTGTGAATTCATCACTAAGCCAAGGTCACCGATAAAGTTTATATGTCTGGGTCATTTGAATAACCTTTATATATATATATATATATATATATATATATATATATATATATATATATATATATATATATATATATATAGAGAGAGAGAGAGAGAGAGAGAGAGAGAGGCATTTTACTAAAATCAATCCGTATTGTTAACTGTGAAATTTGGAAAATCTCAAAAACATTCATAACATAATTAGCAATCATGTGCTTGTTAGTGACTAACTTCAAGAGGTAATTCCGGAGGTCAAGAGTAAGGTCGTGGCCAATGACGTTCAAACATGTTGAGTGTAAATCAGTTACCCATCAAGTACATTGGAAGATTGTTGTGTAATATTACGAATTGATTGCAGATTGACAAATACATCATTGAATTCCAACTGAGTGGTTTAGCAGTAAGCATTTGAGCATGAGATCGAAGGTGTTTGTTCTGATTGTTCGTGATTTGATGGTGGTTGTGGAATTCTGAGTCATCATATATTCAACGAAATAACTATCTAGTGCTTCTAGGTTTTCAGCTAATGTTTGATGCAGATCATTCAGTGGCGTTAATCATTAAATATATCAATATGGCTGGATGACCATCATGATAAGCATAATAGCCTTCCTTATTTTAAACTTTTCTAGCTCCTTTGAAATCTGTTTTGTCTGTTTTGTTACTTGCTAGTTTTCTTTAACCTAGATAGTTGAACCAATTAGATGCGTCTTTTTGTCTGGTCAATGAAATTTTACAAAACGCACAAAGCTCAAAGACTCTGCTACAGCGCAGATCTAATAAATGTGTTATTTTAAAGAATCGTAACTTAAACACTTCAAAATTATGGATTTGGTAATTGTGGAAAAATCTATGGCCATATGAATGAATTTCGATCACTTTGTCTATTGGTGAATATTCTATGAAAATAACCATAGAATATGGAAAGATTAAATGTAAATAACTGCTATATAAAATCATATGATGATAGAAAAGAAGTAAAAAAAGAAAACTCATCAAAACATGCTGAAACTCCTAATATGTGAACCTAATCTTTTTCCTTCAGCACAATGAATAACTTAATAATTAGGGCATAATTGATCACATGAAAACCGTTATTCCATTGTTTTTTTTTTGTTGCATTTTATCGTTTAATAACTATGCACTGTATTTCCTGATTCTCTGATAAGCCGCTCAAGATCGTCAGCGTAGTATACTTTTACGAATATTTTTTTCTTATTCTGTGTAGATAACCTCTGAACTGCCAGAACAATTAAAGTTTACTTTTAATAAGGAAACTGAACATCTAAGTTTATTTGCCGGTTCACTAGTTTATGCATAATATGTAGAGAGAGGGAGAGTTGCTAGATTGATGTGCTAGATTACTCAGTACAACCTTGAAATTTGTAACGCATGGTTTCGACTTGTGATTGAATGGCCTTAAGGGTAGAAATAAAATTATCCTACAATGGAAAGTAATTTAATATCAGAAATATTTGATATACACAGTGATAACATCTGAAGACTTCAATAAACAACATTGAAGACTATCTTCTTAATATGCTAACAAAGAACTGACTAACATTATAGTTGAAGAGATGATCACAATACAACATTTAGTTTGATAGATTGACTTAATTCTATCACTCACACTACATGCTACTCACGTTTCTAGACAAGTTAAATGGTTTTATCATAAGTGTGAGTTGAAAATTTCTATCAAATTTGTCAACGTTATATCCCGACGAGAATTATGAATGGTAACTATTCGGATCTATTTATGGAGCAATACTATACACATATTTTTATTGTATATTTGTCAATTAGCTAAACTATGCATATTCATGCTCCTCTTATTATAAGCTTCATTTTGATCTATAGACTACTATTATACGATTTACCGTTCTTGAGTTATGCTCAGTCTGTTAATTACTATCTCCCTCATTCATAACCACATTTGGCTAGATCATGTACAAATGTTGTTTCCTATTTTTTGTGTTGCGATGTGGTCTGTTTGGTTTGTACACTAACCCAGTATGTTTGAAATAGAATATTCATATCACAGAGGCTGAGATTGGTGTTCTGAACTCGAACAGGTAGAGTCATGTAGGAAGAAGGACTCAATAATGACTTTAGACTGCTCGTATGGGTTTACTTGTCATTGGTCCAGTTGATATATCACTGTTCTCTAATTGGCCGTATCATTACATTTTATAAAATTAGGGCACAAGGCCACAAGTTATAACTCTCTGGGACTACATGTAATAAAGAATGTCTTCTATGATCTAAACTTTGGCAATGACTCATGTTTTTAAAATTTAAAACTAAATCAACGTGAAATTCATTAAGTACTTGTTAAGGTCTAGCTGGATTACAGTGATATGTTTGCCAACTTACTTAGTTCATCAAAGTTTTTAAAACTTCTAAACCTCAGTGATCTAATCACATTTTCGATGGACCTCTTACACGAAAGCTACATTTTGGTTAGATATTTTTAAATGGTTAGTCTCATGCCTATCTTTAAAATCACTTAAGGTTTTCTGTATGGTATAGTTTTACTTTTTGAGTAAATATGACTGGCATTAGCCAATAGAATTCTATTATCTGAGTTACATATTTGTAAATTTATCAATATGTCATGCAATTTGTTTCGAGTTCAGACCAACTTTAAGTATTTTATTTCAACATATCTTCAAATTATTATGATCTGATAAAGTAAGCACTATATGAGAATATAATAATCCAGAACCAACTTGTTCAAGAAGATAAAAGTTAGTCTTTTGAAAAAGTGCAAATCAAAGCTTGTGACTTAAGGTTATGTCGAGGCAATCCGCACAGGATGAACATATGCTAACAAGAGACTGATCAATTGCAGTCCTAAATAACAATGGGAAGATACAAATAAGACAACAAATGAAGTGAAAATCAAGTTATTAACTCGGTAAAATTCATAAGATTATTTTCTCAGTGTAACTTAAAATCTGAACTTGGTAGCTGATCTGTTTTCAAACGATCAGCGTTACTAGATCAACAAAGAAAATACTGGATGTCTTTTCATATGAATTCTATGTATACTCGAGTATTTCTACCATTATTATTATGTAAGCAATGATGGATAGTAGCTGGCAGTGGAATCCAGGACGTGCGTTTCGTCTTATTTGGGACTCATCAGCTTCATGTTCCTGCATCTCAGAGTTGATGTTCACTTTGGGACTCGAACCCAGTACCATTCACTTCAAACGCCATCGCGTTATCTACTATTCATCATTGCTTACAAAAGCTTGTGAATTAAGGCAATATCGAGGCATACGCACAGTATGCACATATGCCAATGACAGACTGAACAATTGCAGTCTTAAACCTCAATGGGAAGATACAAGCCAAACAATACCAAGTGGCATTATTATGACTTGTTAATTATCATATATATACATATATACTAACAGTAAATTAAGTAGTTAAAAGAATATAATAAAAATAACCATCCTAAAGCATCAGTTTGTGAATTAAATTTTCATGAACCAAGAAGATATAAGAAATTTTTTGCTAGAATTTTTCTTATAAGAAATTTGAAGCAATTAGTCCCTCTGATAAATTTCGATAGTGCAATAAGATAATCTTCGTCTTCTTATTACACCATCTAATTTTTTTGCGAGAAGTTAGAATTTCCCTGCTGCTGATACTTCTAAGCTGATTAACTCATATTAGCATTAAGACATATTAAACAGGTGTCTTGTTATCACATCAACCAAATGTAGGTTAAATGATAGTTACATCTTTAGTGTGAGGTGCAGTAAAGTAAACCAAATGAGTAAATTGACATAGAGGGAGACGACTTTGAACCGGCATCATGATAGCGGAGAGCTAAATATCTAACTACCAGTTCACGATCTAAGTTTGAATGGATTTATGGAACAGTTGAATTCTGTTTGGTGTCTGACAGAAGAGTTTAAGATGCACAAATTTATTATATTTAAAATTGATTAAGATGCAAGTACATATATCTGAAAACTAAAGCGTATTATGATTCACTGGCATCATGAAAAACATCTAAGATTTTTGGACTGAGACACTAATATTAAGATCTAAATACACCCAATTCACAAATTTAAAGTGAGACAAAACAACTGTTGTTTACTCCACCCATAACCCTTTTTCAGTGTTGAAAATATTTATAGGTTAATCTTCCCATTAATTTGTCATACGTCGATCCCTCAATTCAACTGTATGGAGATGTTTAATGCAGTTATTATTGGTACAATTGTATGTTGTGTAGTCTATTGAATAAAACGTTTTCCATTAAGGAATGACTTAGGTTAGACGATCAATAAAAACCAAAAAGCAATGGACAGCCGTTTTGTTTCAGTATAATACTCCTCAGTCGTATACATCCACGATCATACCTAGGATCAAACCCAAGACTTTCAGGTTTTTCTAAATCTGAACTTCAGACCCTTAGGTCGACATACTCTCTCATGATATACTATATTATGTGTTAGATAGCTGAAGACAATAAATTAAAATCTGAGCTTCACTTTGTTTTTCATTTATCTGTACTCACTAGTGATACATAGAAAGACATAATATTCTTATTGTTTCGTTGTACTATTTAAACTTGAATTAATGTTGACTTGGTTATTTATTCTCTGAAGAAATGGCTTACGCTAAGTCACGAAACGTCAGAAAATCTAGTTTTTTTATTCATTGGGCTATTACAAATATATTAATTAATTTATAACAATCCACCCAATGATCAATTTATTTGAAATTATCAGGTCGAACCTTGGTAATGATACCTATAAGCTTTAAGAATTCAGTTATATAATCGGGTTGAAATCGTAAAATCCTACTGAGCTTGTTTAACTAAATCAGCAGTCTTATTTCCTTACCCTGATAAGTCTTGTGATTGAACATTTAAACTTTGACTGTTTAGCACCGTTCTAGTGCCACCACCTAGATATATATTTTTAAATCCTGGGCAGAAAGTTTCGAGGATGTTCTACTTCGAAGGTTAGAATGTGTTCAAAATACGAGGATATTGACAGGATTGTATGTAAATCCTTAAACTCCAGCAGTATACAGAAAACATGGTGAAATCGATGGGAAAGCCGATAATTCTGCAATCAACATGAGACGAACATACAACTAATCTTTTTCTAGATTTAGCCTAGAATCTTCTGAAGAGTGATGATCGCTCAACAATATTCATGACTTCTAGGGTCTTTTTTGAAAAATTGTGATGGGCTTCTAATATGCATATTGATCACGCCCATCCTTATTCTAGGATCCTTGCAAGTTGTCTCTAGTTGTTAATGTCCATCTCCATTCATCGGTATAGAAGATTTTTGTGAATTATTGATTGCTGTTAATATTACGTACCGACCAGAGTTAGAAATGCATAATACGTCTAAATAACAGTGTACTATGTTTTTTTGTGTCAGATGGTTGAGAGCAGTCGGAAAAAAACCGTAGACCTAAAGTTTATGCTACTTAACACTCGTCAACCTGGAATGTATAAAATCTTGAAAGAACTGATCTACAATCACTTGGTGTTGTTTTACTTGTATCTTCTCTTTGTTGTTTAGGACTGCAGTTGGTCAGTATCTTGTTGGCATATGTGCATCCTGTGCGGACTGCCTCGATGTTGCCTTAAGTGACAATCTTTATAAGTAAAGATGGATAGTGGCTATAAGTGAAATTCAGGACGTGCGTTTCATTCTATTTGGGACTCTACAGCTGGATGTACCTGCATCCCAGAGTTGATTTCACTTCAGCACTCAAACCCAGTACTTTTTTATCTAAAATCAATTTACATATGTATCTCAATCCTATAGGATGTTAGTCGCTGCCCAAGGACAGAAACCCCAATTGTTCAATGGTTATATTTCAAACTATAAATCTGGGTGTTGTGGCTACGTGTCCCCTCAAGAATGCCGGTAAGTTCAGCTAACAAGTTCCACCAACTAGCATGAAACTATACCCGTTAGATAAATTATCGTTTGTCTGGACTTAATAACCATGTGGATAGTTCTCTTTCACTTGAATCAATGAATACTAAGTTTGAGTTTCACTATAAATATAGAAACTGACGAATACAGATGACAAATTCTAATCATGATAAAATACACATTCTGGATTTAAATTTTATCAAAAATCTAAAAGTATAGGGTTTTGAAGATTATTAAGTTTTTAATCGGCCCATAAATGTCGTGGAACGGCCGAGAGTGAGGAGAGTCAGCTCTCCCTCTCGAAATGCTCTCACACGGCAACGCGTATATAGCCTCTGCCAGGGAAATCCTACTCACTGCCTTCTCGTGGCATTACTGTTGTTTACGAAAATGAGAGTACGAAAAGCTAATGTCCGGCGCTTTAACCGGATCCAAAACCAATGGTTCACATGGGCTCCAGTATCTTACGGGAACAAATGGCGTATGAACCAATCGTTGGTCACCGGCTACCATGGGACTGAATCTCCTTACGATGCTCCACTGTCTTGTGGATCAGACGTTCAGATCAAAGGCTCGGGGTGCGGCCCCCTTGACAAACCACTTGCTTCGGTTTGGGCACCCGGGCAGTATCACAGCTCTCACACACATCAAATGAGATTTGTGTGGCCCATATGTATTTGGTGCTTTCTTGTACCAATATTTATATAATAAGTAAATAAATAATAAATAAGTTTTTAATTGAGACCATGAACTGATTGATGTTAGACCATCATTGAAAACCTGGAAGTAGTAGACGGTCGTTTCGTCCTATTGTGGGACTCCTCGGCAAGCCCTGGGTTTAAATTCCGCAGGCTGGATTAAGCAAAATTTTAAGACAGAAAATAATCTCGATAGTTGAAAATAAACCATACACCACTACATACACTATTTCAATAATTTTTTGTCCAATACTTTCACACATCCCTTTACAAAATGAATATGACTCATTTAATGCAATAAAACGAAATCATTGAAAATTGTCTTTAATGTTCACTTATAATGTGTATTTAAACAAGTGCAGTTTTTTGTAAAGAGAAATAATGAAAGAAATTATAAACACATTTGATCGAACTCATAATTATCACAATCACTTTAAATGTATTTCCATTTAACTACTAAATTTAATTTATAGTTTAGTGTCATGAGTTGACAACCATGCACCTTCCATACGCCATACTGAAAATGCATAACTTAGACCTTGATTTGGATAAATGGATGTTGCTGTTGTTGTGGTGGTGGTTGTTGCTGTTGTTGTTATTGTCGTGATCATCGTCGATGTCTTCATTATTGTCGATGTTGTTATCTCGGATGTTATAAATGGTTGTGAAGTTGTAGATGATGGTGATGATGAAAATTTATTCAAATAATCTAAATCATTCACTAAAAATCTGTATTTATTATTCATATTAGTATTAGTACTTGTATTATTTTCATTACAAAATACTGTTATCTCTGATGTAGAGTTTGAAGATGTTGACGATAATGGGGAACACGATGACGATGAGGATGATGACGATGATGATGATGATGAAGGGGATATTGATGACGGGGATGATGATGATGATTTTGATGAAGATGACAATTGACTATAATCATTAAAATCAAATTTACACTGGCACGGATTAATTTTGTACAAATTATATTCATTATGTGGTGTTAAACATTTCAACTTTTCAATAGGATTATAATCAGTTGATAAGAATGAAGGATCAGTCAATTGGGTGCTATTATTATTATTATTAGTTAAACAAGAAATAGGATATTTACTTGTCATTGGATAGATATCATCTACAAATTCACTCGATTGGTCATTGTTAGATGGTGATGATGATGATACAACTGTTCCTGTTGTTCGTAATGACGATGATTTTGATGATGGTGGTGTTGATGTCTCAAGTACTTGAGATAAAAAATCAATATAGCTAAATAGAAGAAGAAAAAGAAAAATATTTTTTACCTGTTACAAAAATCTATTATTATATTATGTATGTATCACATGACTTATTCTATTAGTTTAGATCACGAAAAAAAAACATCACAAACCTGAAAGTACTGGATAGCTGTTCAGTTTTAGTATGAGACTCCTCAGTGGTACGAATCTACAACCCCGCATCCGAGAATCCAAACTCAGGATCTTCGGTCTCCCATGCGAACGCCTTACCTATGTACCACTGAGCCAGCGTTCAACAGTGCTATCTAAATTCAATCAGTTCGCAATATTGCTATATATATATATATATATCCTATTTGCGTTGCAATTCTGAAAACTGAAAAAAAGCACTAACGATTTAAAAAGTGTATTTTATAGATCCATTTGAAGTACACTCCTTCCCTATAACCGTGCCTTCGAGTGCTTGACTAACGTTTGAATATCTCATAATTAAAAAAGTAACTGAATACATAAGTTTGTGTTGTACTAAGCTGCTTTGGGATGGTTATCGGTAACTCAACCGCTGAGTTAGGATTACTAAACTTATTCTATAATTACTGTCAATTTTTTAATATTAAACACTTTCTGTTTCCAAAATCCCTGCCAAGAGAATCTTAAGTCTAAATTTGAGCATATGGCAAACAGTGTGGCATAACATCATAGTCAAAACAAATCATCATGATCTTGAGTTTCATGATTCTCAGTATCAGATATCGACCGTTGTTTAAAACTACTCTCAAATCACTGAAATCTTGGTAGCCAACCTCTTTAGATGACAATCTAGTTATCTGTTTCGTTAATATATATATATATATCCCAAAGTCCCGGTAAAATATTATAACCCATGTAATCGACCAGTACAGACATGAAAACGAATAACCACAGATCAGTTTTTACACTTAATACTTCCTTTTTAAACTTATTACTTATCAATGCACGTTCACCCCTAAATAAAATTTCGGCCTAAAGAAACTTGGCTTTACTAGCCAAACCTTTTTTCATACTTGTCACTGAAACATGGTGCTCACCCGCAGTGTCTGATTCAGAATTGAATATCCGGTACTACCGACTCTAACGTTGTAACAGAGGAACCAAACATGAAGGTGACTGTCTTATCTATACCTTGAATTCCCTAACAAATAATAAAGTTGAAAAAAATGTCCTGAGTAGTTTACCTGAATCAATCTGGATATCAATCAACACTGAATCATAGTCTACTCCTAGGATGTATGAAAAGAGCCCCTAAAATTTTAGATGATGTGAATGATCTTATTATTAATGCATTTATACATGCATCTGCTCAAAACTTCAATGAAAAGGTTATTATTAGGAGAATTTAATTACCCTGAGATAAACTGGTATAGAGTTAGTTCTCAGTCATCTAATGATAACTTTTCACTGACGTTTAACATGTACTGCTGACCAAAATGGGTTCGTATCTCAACAAGGCGTGATAATATGCTTTATCTAATATTTTGTGGAGATATCATCCCACTGTCTATACAAGTATACAATGAATTTGAAAGCAGGGACCATATAATAGTGCTTGTTTCTCTCTCAATCTGTCCCTCTTGCTACCAACCCATACAAAAACTCACCAACATAGAGATTACAGATATGCTGACTGGGACCTACTACACTTCCTGGTAGGATTCTCAGATTGGGATACCTTTTTCTCAAGCAGTCGTCTCGTGCATGCCATTGACACATTTTATCTGATGACTAACTCTTGTTTAGATTCCTGCGCATCTCTTAAAACATACATGTTTAGTAAACTTAACGAATTATTCATACCACCTAAATATTGTAATAAATTAAGACACTTGTAGAAACGTTATTTTAAGTCAAATGATTTCACAGTAGTTGCACAAATAACTATAATTGTTAACCAAATTAAAGAAAAGTACAGGTTAACAGCCATTAATCAGGAGTTGTTAGCACTTAATTCTCCTTTCCAATAAAGGTGTCACTCAACTTGGATCTTATCATTAATAGTAAGGTGTTATCTAGTTTACATAGGGCAGTGGATTTAAGACTTGAATACTCGTACAATTTGTTCCTCACAAAATAGGTCTCGAAACAGACCATCAAGTTCCAACGTCTCATAGGTTGCATAATTCGTAACCTCTGTGATAAAGAGTCACATATTTTAATGTATAAAGTATATGTTCGACCACTCCTAGAATACTGCTTGTTTATTCTTAGTAGTATTCGCATACAGGATAAATTAAAGTTTGGATCCGTTCAGAGACGATTTACACTTCGCATATTTTGGTTTGATTGCACCTTAAATTATAAGTCCAGATGTAATAAACTTGAACTCGATCCTTTATGGAAGAGAAAGCTCTGACTAAATCTAATTTTTCTCTTCAAAATACTTAATAAACTATCCTTTACATCCAATTAATTAATCAAATATGCGGAAACTTCTAGTTACAGCATGCATAACTTCTTTTTATTAGTGAAACAACTATGTTCTAAATCTTCCCTTCATATGAATTACTTTACCAAGTAAAATTTCCAGGCTCAGCAATAATTTACCACAATCTATCCGTCGAATGAAATCACTCCCATCCTTTGTTTATTGCATCGATACTTACTTCTCCTCTTAAAATACCTTCAATGTACTTACACCTGTAAGTGTATCGTATTCCACAAGTGAGATTATAGGAACTTCAAGTATTTAATCGTTTTTATTACTGAACCCACTAAATTAACATTCCTACTAGCTGTTACTTTACACAAACATCGTCCCTGGAAATCTTAACTAATTTGAATAATATCTAACATGAAAAGTAGATCATATAATAATCTTTCACATATATTTCAGTAGACTTAACTGATTTATCGTTATAATTATTGCCTACTTTGTTCTATGTTCTCAGCTTTCGTTTTTATTTTCTCTAATTATAGATGATTATAATTAACTCGTTATAGATCAGGTAATGGCCTTAAAATACACCGTTCATTGTATTTCAACAGGACGTTCAATTAAAAGAAGTTAAAAATTCCCGTTTGACGACTTTCATTATTGTAATGTACTACTTAAACAATTATTGAACTACAAAATTTACAACAGTTTTACATTACATATCTGTTCTTTACATTTAATGTTACTATTGATATCAAGCTGATTATGCCTATAAACTGGTATAAATTATGTAATCATTATTCCCAGAATATGTTATATTATGATATCATTATTATTACGATTATTATTATTATGCTTGTTTAGGATTTCATTAAAGTTTAATTTTACCTTACAACCTAATCTCGAATTTCTTTGTAACAAATATATTTGTTTACAGAAATAATAGTTCCGAATTTGACAGATTCAAAAATGAAACCATTTCACATCCATACTGAGTATAAAACAGTTAATTTCCAAAGTTATTAGATGATAGTTACGCGGTGTAATAAATAGACTGATGTTCGAAATATCCACATTAGATTAAGTACTCACAGTGAGACCTGCGGGCTCTGTATCCTACCTTTGATATGGTTATCTATGTGTTTTTGCTGAAATGTCTCATACTGACATGAAACAGTTGTCTAGTGCTTCCTGGTTGTTAATGGTTTTCTATTTAAGATTAATTCATTATATAAACTTTAAAAAATTTGTTCATCAATCAATTTTCTTATGAAGACTATCATCAATTTGCAAAAAGATTACTTAATTCCAATATAATATTACTTCATATAGAATAGGTGAAATAGATGGCAAGCAGTAAAATACAGCACTTATGTTTCTTTCGACTTGGAACTCGTCGATTAGATGTACCTGTGAATCTTAGAGTTGATGTTTACTTCGAAATTTGAACCTGACACCTTTCACTTCAAATGCTCAATGAGTTATCCACCTAGCGACTGAGTAGAGACAGTTACTCACTTTTTTATGAACAACTAGAATGAATTTTAATTTGGATTAATGAAACTGATCGGAATTCAGTCAACTCATCAACAAAGTGACAATTCAAACCACTAAAAATTAATTCAAAATCCCTACCCATCAATTGAATAAATGGTTAGCAGTACTCAGTAGTTAAATGGATGGTACGTTGGAGATTTAAAGCGTGAAGTATTAGGTTTGAATCCCAAGCTAAACATCAATTCGCATGCACATTTATTCAACTGAAAAGTCTTAAATGGTACAAAACGTGTGTCCTGGATTCCACTATTACCTTTGTACAAAATACTGCATACAAACCAATGTCATAATAACTACATCGAGGCAATCGACTCAGGATGCACATATGCTAAGTCAGATCAAAATGTTCAGTCAAGAATATCAAAAATCAGGTAATCAAAGACCATTACAAATTAAATTAATATTACTTAATTTAATAGTTGAATTCATGAGTCAATTAAAGCTAGACCATCATGGAAAACCTGGAAAATACTAGACAGCCGTTTCGTCCTAGCGTTCGCTTGCGAGACCAATAATCCTGGAATCATGGATGAGCATTACTGAGGAGTCTTATGGTGATCTAGCTTTGATTGACTCATGAATTCAACTACGGAACCATTAAGATCTCCACAACCCACCCCCACTCCTTTTGATCATATGACTTAATCTTAAAATTTCAAACAGGTATGAAATGAATTTTTTTCTCGTTAAAAACCAAAAAGAAAAAGGCAATACATGTTATTTATAGAGAATGAATTGACTTACCGTGTAGCTAATTTAAGTGTTTGTATTTTACTTAATTTATCCGATGGTAATGTTGGTATAATACGACGTAATTCAGAAAATGCTTGATTCAATGATTGTGTACGTTGTCTTTCACGAACATTAGCTAGAAAACGTTGAGTTTGTAATTCTTCTGATGTAGTAGATTTTAATAAATTTACATGAGCTATGTTATTGATATTTAATGTATTCTGATAAATATCATAATCAGTTTTATAGAAACTTTTAAAATGACCATTATGATTTGGAAGTTTAAATGATTCATTTGATTGAATAGTGGATTTAATGTTTGTTTTAATATTTCTTGAACATTGAACTAAATTCAATTCTGATTGAGTATGATCTAATAATTGTTTAATGAATATGAGAAGAAAAAAAAAAAACAAACAAAGAATAAAATGACTTAAGTCGATTTCTTAGGAAATATCTAGAAAAACATATAAGAGCAACTTATTACATAACTAATGATCAAATTTTATTTGTTTTTGTTAGTTGTAGGTAGAAAGAATCTGGTATACAATTCGTCAATGTGATGTATGAACGTCTATACTAGTTGCTTATATTGTTGACAGAGATAGATAAATTCTGTTAGAACTCCGGTGGTCGCCAATGTTATATCTGCCTCATCTATTACTTATACACGAAAACAAGGAACTAGTACAATTACTACAACTGAAGATTCAGAAAACAAAATATTGATGCAAGTGAAGATTTAATGTCACAAAAATGAGATGATTCTTGTCGTAATTACATTGATTTACAAATTTGTGATGTCCTTGATCTGTCTATCCAATAATATACGGGAAAGATATTAACACCGTTGGATTACAGCTCAGTGGTGTAGAAGTTAGGCGTTCGCGCGTGAAACCGAAGGTCCTGGATTCGAGTCCTGCGAGCGAGATCGTGGATGCGCAATTTTGAGGAGTTCCGTACTAAGAAGGAACGACCATCCTGTACTTCCATGTTTTCCATGGTGGTCTAGGTTTAATCTACTTATGAATTAAACTATTAAATTAAAAAAAATTTAAATACATTTAAACTGAACATTAGAGTAGAAAACCCGAGTACAAAAAGGTTACGTTAAAATTACAATAACTTTGGAACAGATAAAGGTATGTCAGTGAATCATACATCAATCGAAAGCTTACAGTTTATAGAATAACCTAGGCATCAAAATAAATATCATTATTTTACAAACTATGAATTAAATGATATAGAGTTCCTAAAAATAGATCCCATTTTTCATTATGGCTTATTTCTCTTTTGGTTCACATCAAAATTGATTTATATACCCATTTGATTATTAATTAGAAAAATGCCTAGAATAATGGTAAAATTGTATTCTACCTGTCATGATGAACATAGTTCACCTCAATTGAATACAAACAACATTACACTGAAGTAAGCCAATATTAAACTTAATAAGATATTACACTGAATTAAAAAAATCGGAAGTAATGTTGGGCAAAAATTACAACGAGACAATAATGTAATTATGCCTTTTTTTTAAATCCCATCATAACAAGTTCAGTTACATACTCCATAAATCTTAAAAAAACTTAGTTAAAACAGTGTATATAATACTGAATAGTGAGCATTTATTGATTTGATGTTCAATGCCTCTAAATGCTCTGATGCAATCGAGGGTGTGAAGAGTCTGATCTCCCTCTCCAAATGCTTTCATGTGCATACAGCCACTGCCAGGGAAGTCCTATTCAATGCCTTATCAAGATGGGGGTGTTGTTTACGAAATCGAGAGGACGGCGGGAGAATTTCCGGCACATTGACGGAGTTGGCGGATATGAAGGATCCACTCAGTGGAGTTGGAAAACCCTGACCACAAACCAATGGGGCATATGGGATTCAGGATTCTGAGGGAACAAATGGCATGTGAACCTATTGTTGGCCACCGTCTACCATGGGACTGCATCTACTTACGTTGATCCACTGCCTTGTGTATTAAACCTTTAAGTCAAAGGCTCCGAGTGTGGTCCTCTAAAAAAATCATCTGCTTCGGTTCGAGCACCCATAAAGTATTCCATATTTATTTGGTGCCTCCTAGTACCAATGTTTATGTGTTTAAATAAATAGACCATTTAGTGTAATTATACTGAAGTGTTAATTGGTTTTTATATCCTTTTCTTTCATAGACAAGCTGAACGTTGCTTCAGGAAATGTAGGTGGATCGACTGAACGTATTTTTATAAGAGTAATCCAGTTTATAAATCCACATATAAGTGGTTGTATTTGGAAGCCTATAATTTACCTGTATCGGTTGTTAAAACAAAACGTGAACTGCTTTTAAAAAGTGTTTTGTTTATAAACTTTCTCAGTTTAATTATTATTGATAAATTATTACATTACCATAGTAGATTAGTGAATACCGCTTGTGACTCTATAAGGACTGAGTTACTAAAGGCAACATCAACTTGAGAGGCCAATTTATCCATTCTTCTTGAGTCACATTTTGATCTTGTTAATTATTCACTTATAAACCTTGACTATTTTTATTTGAGCTTGTTTGTATGTACACTTCTTATCCTACTCATCACATGTCTGTAGCTTATTTTTGTATGGCTATAAATATTGATTAACTCTTGATTAAGTGGAGTTGGTTCATCCGTCATCCCTGCTGCGCGTCATTTTGCTTCTCTCTCTTCTCTTCAATTCATCCCTCTGATTATCTGTCCAGATTAATGAGTGTACAAAATATGCGTATTCAAATATCCATTCTCGTATTTGACTTATTTAATTCTGTTATACATCAAAGCATATAAAGCCGATAATAATATACAAGAACGTGAGACTAATTTATGGACGACCTTTGAGCGACGCTAAAGTGACCTTGAGAGTGTTCACCTTATAACTAGGACCGAATAAGGGTTATAAACCAGCGTGAGCAATTAGAATTATGATCTAAAGTTGATGGTTAGGGTTAGCAATTAGATTTAGAGTTTTCATCAGCTATAATGCCAAAACTCAATTTAGCCAAACGGATAGGTGAATTTCGCGCCAAAATCCGAGATTTATTATCTTACACTTGATTGGTTCGTCCACAAATAGTAGTCTAGCCTACGAGAATAATCAGGATGTATATTTCGATAGCAATCATTCAGTCAGATAAGGGGCCACTAAAAAACACTTGTTTTGTATTGGAAATAATTTACCCTATCTAGAAAGATATTTGAATTCTATCATTCATAAATCTGTTATCATATTATATTGTATATAAATACATTTATTATAAACTTATGAAATAATAATGATAAGGTAAATCTTATCAATTCAAATCAGAAACCTGTCCACCATTATCATCATCAGCATCAGCATCATCATCATCATCATCATCATCATCATCATGTACACATATGGAGCAGAAAAAAGCAAACAACAACCAGCAACATACAATTCCATGATAACTGAAATCTAATCATTCGTTTGAAACAAAATAATAATTATTTAACATATGGTTTTGTTTTTAATCAAACTTTTCATTAACAGATGTAATTTAACCAATCCACAAAATTGCGCCACCGTACACCATTGTCTTCAGTGAGCTGACATCTCATAACGGATCTGGTTGAACTCCACTAGTCACGGCCTCTCACTAGAACTCCAGGAAATGCCTCTTGAAGTCAGTCACTAGTGAGCAGATGATTATTATCAGAAGGGGGGTGGGATCGTGGATGCGCACTGCTGAGGAGTTCCATACTAGGACAAAACTGGCCATCCACTGCTTCCAGGTTTTCCATGGTGGTCTAGCTTCAATTGACTCATGATTTCAACTATTGAAATTACTAAAATCTCCACAAAACCCCTTCAGATGTAATTTAGTTAAAAAGTTAATTGGTAATTAAGTAGTAGAAATAGATATGTTAAAAGTTGATTATCAATTCTCATTCATCTTATAGGGAATCGAACTTGAAACTTTCAAATCTTGTAATAATGTGATGTTTACTACTTTTATCGAGAGATATAAATAGGTATGTGACATCAATTAGATGTGGAATGAATGCCAGCTGAAGATTGAGAAGATCGAATTAAAGAGAACAGGAATGTAAACTGAAAGCAATTGTAATAACAACAGAAATGAAATGACGATGAAGTATGCAAGAGACAATTGGTGAAAGATGTACATATGTAGTATTTAATGTATGATTTTCATGTTTTATGATAGCACTTTATAATTTTGCGATAATTAGTAAATTGATGTTCCCCATCTGAGTGTTCGTTCACTAAGGTAAGCATAAGAAATTACAAGCCAGTTAATTGAAGGCCTATGGTCTATGGTTTTAATTTCGGTCAATCCACGATTTTTGACTGGCAAATATATAACATCCTCAACGATATCTGTGGAATTTTCTAACATGTTCAAACATAATCGGTCATGATTTCTCACTGTAACTGTGGGAATTATTCTTGTAATCAGCCACTAGTTTGTTATCACGGAGATTATTTGTGTTAACCGCGAAACTCTGATCAATAGAGTCATAGTAGTTCAGTGTTAAAGATTCTCAAACTAGTGATTCAGTAGATTTTCATACCTCTTTAGAAATTTCTACTTCAATAGAACCAGTCTTAGCATATAAGGGATTTGAAGGGAATGTAGAATTTTTATAGTTTAAGTTACAATTTATTATAAGTTGGATCACCATTAAAATCATGTTCATCCATTCTGTTGACAGAAAAACAGTCGCTGAACTATCAAGACAGTTTTAATTAATTGTTGTATTAGTTGTGGCTATCTGGACTCAGTAGCTAAGTGGATAATGTAACGGCGTTTGAAGCGAACGGTATTGGGTAAGAGTCCTAGAATGAACATCAACACTGAGATACAGGTATGTTCGATTGACGAGTTCCAAATAGGACGAAACGCGCCTCCTGGATTACGCGGCCAGCCACCATCCATACCAAGACAGTTATTGATTTACATTCAGTGTGATCTAAGTAGTACACAAATTAATCATTCGTTAGTGTATATTTATTTACAGTCATTTGGACTATCTTTATTCAATTTACAACTTCATCACCAAGATAATTAGTGCATTGACAGCTAGAAACATTTTTTATTATGGATATATTCTCGACATTGACACGTCTTAAATCGATTCAACATAAGCAAATTTTTATTAGAATGGGGGTTTGTGGATATTGTGGTAATTTTAATAGTTGAATTTACGAGACTATCTAAGCTAGACCATCAATGAAAACCTGGAATCGCTGGAGATCGTTTCGTGATAATATGGGACTTCTCAGCGGTGGGCATCCACGATCCCGTATGTGGGACTCGAACCCAAGACATTCGGTCTCGCGCACTAATATTATGATATTCACAAAGCAAACAGAATGAAAACCAATTCATCAACTTTTCTTACTAAACCAATAAATCAGCATGTTATTTTGAATTTCATTTTTAATAATTATTAAAAACCATTAGCTTTTATTTATTTATTTGAACAAATAAATATTGGTACAAAGGGGCATCGAATACATATGCGCCACACAAGTCACTTGATTTGTGTGTGAGCTGTGATACTGACCTGATTCTCAGACCGGAGCAGTTGGTTTTCTTAGGTGACCACACCCGGAGCGTTCTATCTGAAGGTCTGATCCACAAGGCAGTGAAGCAACGTTAGGAGATGCAGTCCCATGTTAACTGGTGACCAACAATGGATTCATACGCCATTTGTTCCGTCAGCATTTTGAAGCCCATGTGCACCCTTGGTTTGTTGTCAGGGTTTTCCAACTTCTCTAGGTGGGCCGTTCGTGTCCACCGACCCGGGTAAAGTGCCGGACATTCACTTTTCGTCCTCTCAATTTCGTAAACAACAGTAATACCGCGGGAAGACAGTGAGTAGGAGCTCCCTGGTAGTGGCTGTATACGCGTGGCTATGTGAGAGCATTTCGAGAGGGAGAGCTGGCTCCCCCCCACTCTCGGCCATACCATGACATTTGGGGGGCATAACCATTAGTAGTCTATGATAAACAACCTATCCAACGAAAGATACTGATAAATATGTTTACGTTAATTCTCTACGAGTTGTTCTTCTCAAGAAAATCTTAAATAATCAATTATGTATACGTTGTATTCATTAACTAATTCCTGTTCACAATGAATAGTTATTTTATTTGTATGGGTTTGTATTGTTCATGATTTTTTGAGAATGGTTTAACTGATATTCCAGTTCTATAGGTAGTCATTTGCAGCCGAAATACCTCAATAGCAATGTTTAATACTTTGAAACCAGGGAGATACGAATTCGAATCCGATTGATATCATCAATTCCCTTAAGGTTGTAAGTACGTTTTGCTTACGAATGCCATTTTGAATAAAATTTAGTTCCAAGCCTCTTGATGATTTCTTCTAGTCACCTGACAGATAAACAAAGTAGTAATACAAAAGGACAATGTTGCTGATAAGACTAAGTTATATGTTCATGGTTTAGGATATCATGTCAATTACACCTACAATCAACGAATATTCAATAAAGCAACACTAAGATCTCTAATCACTTGAACGAATCAAAATTTTTCGAGTTAATGATCCGAATTTAATCAATAACATTTCATACCAATAGAATTTACAATCATAAACATACCCAAATACACAATTCAAACTCACTTTTATTTGAATCCATCAAATTTTCAATGACCTTAATTTTATCCAAATTTAAATAAGCCAATAACGCTGATGATGATGATGATGATGATGATGATGTAGTTGTTGTTGTTGAAGATGACATTATTTTAACATTTGATAATGATGATGAGGATAACATAGATGTATTAATTTCATTTTCCATATCAGTAGTTTGATTATTATAAGTAGTAATTGTATTAGGTTTATTAGTAGTATTAGTAGTATTCATTTGTAAACTATCAAATTGTTCAAAATGACTAGATGAATATTTTGTATCAGTTAAAGTTGATAAATAATTTTTACTATTCTGAAATTCATTTTCTACAATCTCATCTTCTATTGATAAATTATGATAATTGATTTCATGATGATTATCTAACCAGAATGTTTGCTGCTGCTGCTGCTGGTGATGTTGTTGTTGTTGCTGTTGTTGTTGTTGTGATAAAGTCAATTGTTCATTATTCCATGGATAAAATGATGTCATTGATGATGAATCTGACCATACAAATGAATTGTCAGGTAATGTATCAATGGTAGTTATAGGGAAATATGTAGTTCTTGGTAAATTATATGAATAATCCCAAATATTATCAATATGTGATGTTAATTGATTTCTAATAACAGTATCATTCATTATATCATATGGATATTTAATATGATAATCAATAATTGGGATTTCATTATTCCATAATAATTTATTATTATTATTATCATTATTAATAATAGGTCTATCATAAACTTGTGACATTTTATTCTATTCTTTCTTTTTAGCAATAACACTATTAAACTAATCGGTAATAATTCCCGTTAAGAACAGTTAGTTAAATAATAAAACACTGAATATAAGACGCCCACCTACCCTACCCTACCCCCCCTCACTCACTTTCTTCATTTCTATATTATGAAGAGATAAAGTTAAGGGAGTATGAATTATAATTGTATAGAATATTCACTCTTTACATTCCTAATGAAGAAGAGTAGAAAGTCAATAAGAGAAATGTGCAAATTTACCAACGAAAATATGTGCTTGTCTACATTTTTTTTTATTAACCAATAGAAAATTTAGAAACAATAAAAATTTATACGGCACAAAGTTGAAGGGGGCAGATAGAATTGTGTACATTACATTGTGTAGAATGTATATATATATATATATATTCAAATGTGCTTTAGTGTAAAACACAATATTAAACAATAGCTGTAATTGGTATGATCAATGAAGAATTAACAAATAACCAAAACAAAATAGTAAGAAACAATAATGATTTATCCAATCACAAATTCATATCAATCTTATGAATATACTGATTTAAGATAGGATTAATTGTGTAATCATATTGTGATCAGAATGAGGATTTGTGAAGATTATGATAATTTTAATAGTTGAATTCATGAGTCTATCTAAGCTAGGTCATCATGGAAAACTTAGAAGCACTGGAAGGCCGTTTCGTCCTAGTATGGGATTCCTCAGCAATATACATCCACAATCCCACACATGAGACTCGAATCCAGGGCCTTCGGTCTCGTGCGTAAACGCTTAACCTCTAGAACACTGAGCTGTGATCTAATGGTGTTAATGTTTTACTTTAATCGATTCATGATCTTTCATCGTTCAAGGCTTCCGAGTTTTCAATGATGGTATAGCTCAAATCGACTCATGAATTCAACTATTGAAACTACATTACTTGTAAGCACCTGGTTGGATTTTACCAATCAAAACTGTTTAAATTCATTCGGTTATGTGCGTTTTTTAAAACTAATTTTCATCCCTAAACAAATTTGACAGTTGTTCCACCTCAAAATGAAACTGTAGAATGGTGCCCATCCGTTGATGTTATATTGAATCTTATGATCTTGGTGATAACTTTTAACTACTGAGTGATAAATAATTCAGCCTTTAAGATATTCTGTTTATGATGAAACCTGGATAACACAGGTTCGAGTTTATATGACAGCACATATGTGTATTTTTTAATCTGCCACGCAATATCAGCATAGTGAAATGAAATTATCAATACAAATTTCACTGTAGAAGAAGTAGTAACATAATCAGTTCTAATAGAAAAGATTTGGCATAAACAATATGATAAAATAAGAATGAATGACTTCATAGAATATACAAGTGTCTAAAGATTGGTAGTGGATGTATATATGTGGTGTATGTTACTTATGATGACATAAGTAGTATATAACACCAATGAGAATTGGAATGCCTGGCAGCAGAAGGTTGGGAAGATCGAAGAGAAGAGATCCGGAACAGAGAATACTTGTCATGACAATGAAGGAACGATGAAGTTTGAGACAATTGATGGGGGATTTGCAAATAAAGTACTGAATCTATGGTTTTCGCACTTGATGAAACAACTTTGTAATTTTACATTAGAATACAATTGGTTGTCCCCACCGGTGTTCTCGTTCACTACATATATGTTTCTGCAGTCGATTCTAGGCTATGTCATCTAGTCTCTAACATACAGTTACAATAATCACTCAGAAGACTAACCAACTAATCTGGATCTACTAACACGGCTAATTCCAATAGTCGATAACTTTAGAGACTGATGTTGAGTCTTGGTTTGACCATACCTATCTTTGCTACGACTTACTCCTAAACCAAAAAACATTGCCCATGGCGGCAGGAAATGGTTGAGCATGCCTAATACAGAAATTTTATAGGAATATTCAAGTGTTCTTGTTTAATTAGAAAGTAGTTTAATGTCAGAAATGTTTGATATACACAGTGATAACATCTGAAGACGTCAATAAACAACATTGAAGACTATCTTCTTAATATGCTAACAAAGAACTGACTAACATTATAGTTGAATAGATGATCACAATACGACATTTAGTTTGATAGATTGACTTAATTCTATCACTCACACTACATGCCACTCACGTTTCGAGACAAGTTAAATGGTTTTATCATAAGTGTGAGTTGAAAATCTCTATCAAATTTGTCAATGTTATATCCCGACGAGAATTATGAATGGTAACTATTCGGATCTATTTATGGAGCAATACTATACACATATTTTTATTGTATATTTGTCAATTAGCTAAACTATGCATATTCATGCTCCTCTTATTATAAGCTTCATTTTGATCTATAGACTACTATTATACGATTTACCGTTCTCGAGTTATGCTCAGTCTGTTAATTACTATCTCCCTCATTCATAACCACATTTGGCTAAATCTTGTACAAATGTTGTTTCCTATTTTTTGTGTTGCGATGTGGTCTGTTTGGTTTGTATACAAAACCAGTTTGTTTGAATTAGACGATTCATATCACAGAGGCTGAGATTGGCGTTCTGAACTCGAACAGGTAGAGTCATGCAGGAAGAAGGACGTAATAATGACTTTAGACTGCTCGTATGGGTTTACTTGTCATTGGTCCAGTCGATAAATCACTGTTCTCTAATTGGCGGTATTATTACGTGATAAATTAATAGGATAAAGAATACAAGTTATAATAGTCAGTTGAGAAAGTATCTTATGCATTAATAAACTCATCGTAGATTCAATACAGTGAGACTTGACGTAGATGGTCAGTTGTTGCATAAATACTTCAGTAAAAATGGGCCTACTTTTTCTTTGAAGTATAAATTTTCTGTATAAATTTATAAAATCTATTTTGTCAACTACGGTTATCTACAACTGTCTATTATGAATGTGTTCAGTACAGCTCAACGCCACATATTGAATGCAGTACGCAGATCTAGTAAAATTAATGGTTTAGAATGAAATCTTTAAGTGAAATTTACAGTTTAATATCCTGTGCTCATTCATCAAATAAGCGCTAACATTATCAAAATTCCTGGGTTTGACAGGTTTAAGAAAACCGCAGATAGTTTTTGTGCATAAAATGTTCGTAGACAACAAGCATTACCTAACCAAAGCATTCTATTTCTAATTTTTAATTCTCTCTTCTACATGGAATATTAAAAAAAGGTATCCGCCGAAAACAATGAAAGATTTTCGCGCAAGTTTATCTTGTACACCATCAGATTGCAACTCAGTGATCTGAAAATTAATCATTCGAACCGAAGATCTTTGGTCTTGCGTTCAATTCCCGATTGCATGATCATGGATACACACTACTATGGGATCCCAACTAGAATAAAACGGCCGTTTAATGTTTCTAAGTTTTCAATGATTTACTAACTGAAACCAGTTTTGGAATTCCAATAAAAATTCAACAATCTTCGCAAAGCCATAATGAAAAAAATATTAAGTGACTGGCTTCAAGAAGTATTTTCTGGAGTTCTAGTGAGAAGATGTGACCAATCGAGTACAACCACATCTGTTGTGATATAGTAACTCACTGAAGATAATGGTGGACGGTGGCGCAATTTTATGAATTGGTTGAAGTTATACATTAACACTATTGGATGTCAACTCAATGGTCTAGAAGTTAAGCGTTCGCACACGAGACCGACAGGTTCTGAGTTCAAATCCTGCGGGGTAGGATCATGGATGCGCACCGCTGAGGAGTCCCACACAAGGACGAAACAGCCGTCCAGTAATTCCAGGTTTTCCATGGTAGTCTAGCTTTAATTAATTCATGAATTCAACTATTGAATTACTAAAATCTCTATAAACCCCCCTTCTAAAAATAATCTCAATTAAAAATATAGTTTGATTCTCCTTTATTTTTTCACAAATTTTATTTCTTGACATAATTTTTCATTTGATCAATAATTAAATGTTAAAAACAAAATTCATTTAATTTGTTTATTCATTTTAAAATGTAAACTATAATTTAATTAACATTGAAATTCTTACTGTATGTTTACTTATAACATATTCTCCAGTAATTCATCACCGGCCACCGACGCGCGCCCCCCACCCACTCATCGCTATACACTTGAATTTTTGTCAACAATAGTAATATTGTATGAAATTTTTGATTTTTTTTTTCTTATAGAATTTTTCAATTTTTCTTTTTAATGACAGTTAAGGGGTGGCTAAGGGGTGGTAATAATTAAGCAGATTTGTACTATGACACGTATATATTAGTTGTAATATTAATAATACATATCTAATTGTAATGATGGGTATAATGATAAGAGATACATTGAAGCATCAAAAATAAACGAGATGACATTAGTTGATGATTCTATGTGTAAGTGTGTGAAGTTTTTCATGAGCGATGATATAAGGTGAGAGTAAAAGGTGAAATGATGAATCGAATAGTACTAGTCATTTATTGATATGAAAATCAACATGTACAAAATAGTGATAATTAGATTAGATGAAGAAATAAAAATAGGATACAACATAATCTTGTAGTGAGACATCAACATTATCCTTATCTGTAGCTGATCAATAGCATGTTATATAATTTGGTAATAATAATAATAATAATAATAATAATAATAGTCAGTACTATACATCTCTACTATTTACAGAAGTATGAATTCTATAAAATAAGACCCTGAAAATTAATAATGGGAAAATACCAACCTGTTTGAATGTGTATAATAATATACACATGTTACTTGTCGAATAAGTTGGTGACTATCTTGACTCGGTATTAGTTCATTAAATAACTTCAAGGCTTCTGAATTGATGGTTATTGGATTCGAGTCACAGTATGAACATCAGCGCTAGGGGAACTGACTTACGTCTGTTACCCCTCATGTGGTTGGGTTGATGTACTCCGCATTGCTTTTGAGGACCATGCTTTTTCCTTTTGTGTATGTTGAGGCCTACTGCTGAAGAGGTGGAGACTGCTGCTACAGT